AAAAAGACCAAACTTAAGAATTATTGGGATAGAGGAAGGCATAGAATTCTAAACCAAAGGAATGAACAATCTATTCAATGAAATAATATCAGAAATTTTTCCAAAAATGAAGAATGAATTGGAAAATCACTGAATATACAAAATCACAACAGATCCACACCAAGACACATTATAATGAAAATGCCTAGCACACAGAATAAGGAGCAAATTTTAAAAGATACAATAAAAAGCAATCAGATTACATATAAGGGGAAACCAATTAGGATATCTGCACATTTTCAACCCAGACCCTGAAAGCTAGAAGATCCTGGAACAGGGCTGGGGTTGTGGCTCAGTGGTAGAGTGCTAGAAGAAGAAGAAGAAGAAGAAGAAGGAGGAGGAGGAGGAGGAGGAGGAGGAGGAGGAGGAGGAGGAGAAGGAGAAGAAGAAGAAGATGATGATGATGATCCTGGAACAACATATACCAAGTTCTACAAGAAAATGGATGCCAAACAAGAATCTTATATCTAGCAAAATTAAGCTTTAGATTTGATGACAAAATAAAAACCTTCCATGATAAACAAAAGTTAAAAGAATTTACAACAAGAAAGCCTTCATTACACAACATCCTCAGCAAAATATTCCACAAGGAGGAAACAAAAAACAACAATAAAAATCAGCAAAGGGAGGTATTACACTAAAGGAAATACTAATCAAAGGAGAAACCAAGTCAAGTTAAATACCAAAAATAAACAAATATGTCCAGGAATACAAATCATGTCTCAATAATAACCCTGAATGTTAATGGCCTAAATTCACCAATCAAAAGACATAGAATGGCAGATTGGATTAAAAAAAGACAACACTATGCTGCCTTCAAGAGACTCATATTATAGGAAAAGACATCCATAGACTGAAGGTGAAAGGTTGGGAAAAAACATATCACTCACATGGATAGCAGAAACAAGCAGGGGTTTCCATCCTCATACCAAATAAAGTAGATTTCAAGCCAAAGTTAATCAAAAGGAATAAAGAAGGACATTTCATACATCTTAAGGGAACCATACATCAACAAGATGTCCCAAAATCTCTGGGACACTATGAAGGCAGTACTAAGAGGAAAGTTCATTGCATGAAGTTCATTCCTTAAAAGAAGAAAAAGTCAACAAATAAATGACCTAATATTACATCTCAAAGTCCTAGAAAAAGAACAAATCAACACCAAAAGCAGTAGAAGACAGGAAATAATTAAAATCAGTGCTGAAATCAATGAAATTGAAACAAAAGAAACAATTGAAAAAATTGGATAAAACAAAAAGTTGGTTCTTTGAAAAAAATAAATAAAATTGATAAACCCTTAGCCATGCTAATGAAGAGAAGGAGAAAGAAAACTCAAATTACTAACATCTGCAATGAAAAAGGAGATATCATGATGGACACTACATAAATTCAGATATAGTTATAAATTATTTTGAAAATTTGTACTCCAATAAAATAGAAAATATCAAAGGCATCAACAAATTTCTAGAGTCATATGACTTGCTCAAACTGAACCAGGATGATTATACACAAGTTAAACAAATCAATTTCAAGCAATGAAATAGAAGATGCCATCAGAAGCCTACCAACCAAGAAAAGCCCAGATAGATACACAGCTGAGTTACACATGACCTTCAAAGAAGAACTAATACTCCTCAAATAATTTCATAAAATAGAAAAAGAGGGAACACTTTCAAATTCATTCTATGGGGCCAATATCACCCTGATTCCAAAACCAGACAAAGACACATCAAAGAAAGAAAACTTCAGACCAGTATCTCTAATGAACATAGATACAAAAATTCTCAATAAAATTCTGGCAAATCAAATACAAAAACATAAAAGATCAGGCACCACAATCAGTGAGGTTCATCTCAGGGATACAAGGTTGGTTCAACATATGGAAATCAATAAATGTAATTCATCACATCAATAGACTTAAAGATAAGAATCATATGATCATCTCAATAGATGCAGAAAAAGCATTCAACAAAATACAGCACCACTCCATGTTTAAAACACTAGAAAATCTAGGGATAACATATCTCAACATTGTAAAAGCTATCTATACTAAGCCCCAGGCCAACATCATTCTAAATGGAGAACAAAGAAATCAGAAAAACAATTCCATGTACCATGGCCTCCAACAATTAAAGTACCTAGGAATAAATCTAATCAAAAAGGTGAAAGACCTCTTTGATGAAAACTACAGAACATTTAAGAAAGAAATCAAAGAAGACACAAGAAGATGAAAAGATCTGGATTCATGGATAGGTAGAATTAATATTGTTAAAATGGTCATACTACCAAAAGCAATATACAGATTCAATTCAATTGCATCAAAATACCAATGGCATTATTTCTACAACTAGGGGGAAAAAAAAGTTCTAAAATTCATTTGGAAGAATAAAAGGCCCAGAATAGCAATTCTAAGGGGAAAAAAAGGAATGCTGGAGGCATCCCCAATGCCTTTCTTCAAATTATACTCCAGAGTTATAATAACAAAAACTGCATGGTGCTATCATGAAAACAGACACATAGACCAATATTACAGAATAGAAGACACGGAGACAAACCCACACAGATATGGTCATCTGATCCTTGACAAAGTTGCCAAAAACATACATTGGAGAAAAGACAGACTTTTTAACTTAACAGTGCTAGGAAAACTGGTTATCTGTGATAGTTTAAATATAAGGTGCCAGTTGGGCACAGTAGCACATGTCTGTAATCCCAGCAGCTGGGAAGTCTGAAACAGGAGGATCTCAGATTCAAAGCCAGCCTCAGCAACAGGGAAGCACCAAGCAACTCAGTGAAACACTGTCTCTAAATAAAATACAAAATAGGGCTGGGGATATGGCTCGGTGGTCGAGTGCCCCTGAGTTAAATCCCTGGTACCCAGAAGCAAAAAAACAATAAATTTGAGGTGTCCCCCAAAAGCTCATATATGAGACAATTCAAGAAAGTTTAGAGGTGAAATGATTAGGTTATGAGAGACTTAACCTAATCAGTGCATTAATCCACTGATAGGGATTAATTGGTGGTAACTATGGACAGGTAGGGGGTGGCTAGCAGAGGTCAGTCATTGGGAGTGTGGCTTTAGGGTTTATATTTAGTCTCCAGGCAAGTGGACCCCACCCCCTTTCTCTCTTCTTCCTGATGGTCATGTCCTGAGCTACTTTCCCCCTTCATACCCTTCCACCATGATGTTCTACCTCACCTCAGGCACAGGGCAATAGAGTCAGCCATCTATGGAGCCAGCCATATATGGACTAAGACCTCTGAAATTGTGATCCAAGTAAACTTTTCCTTCTCTAGAATTGTTCTTGTCGGGGCTTTTGGTCACAGCAGCAAAAGGGCTGACTAAACATTATCCATATGTAGAAGTCAACTTGAAGTAGATCAAAGACCTAGGAATCAGAGCAGAAACAATGCAACTCCTAGAAGAAAACATAGGGCCAACACTCTACCAGACAAGCATAGGAAAAGACCTTCTCTATAAGACCCCAAAAGCTCAGGAAATAATGCCAAGATTTAATAAATGGATGGCTTCAAATTAAAAAGCTTCCACAGAGCAAAGAAAACAATGAAGAATATGAAGATAGAACGGGAAAAATTATTTGCTAGCTACTCTTCTGACAGAGAATTAATATCCAGGATATATAAAGAATCAAAAAGAAAATTTCCAAAAACCCAATTAATAAATGGGCAAATGAACTAAACAGATACTTCTCAAAAGAAGAAACACAAATGGCCAACAAATATATAAAACATGTTCAACATCATTAGCAATTAGGGCAATGCATATCAAAATTACACTGAGATTTCATCTTGCTCCAGTTAGAATGGCAACCATCAGGAATACAACAATAATAAATGGTGGAGAGGACATGGAGAAGAAGGAAACTTTCATACTGTTTTTGGAATTATAAAATCATACAACTACTATGAAAATCAGTATGGAGGTTCCTCAAAATATGAGGAATGGAACCACCATGTAACCCAGCTATAATACTACTCCTTGGTATTTATCCTAAAAAGTTAAAGTCATCATACTGTGGCAATACATGCATACCCATGTTTAAAGCAGCACAATTCACAATAACCAAACTATGGAGCCAGTGTAGGTATCCGTCAATGGATGAATGTAGTATATCTACACAGTGGAGTTCTAGCAGCCATAAAGAAGAATGAAATTATGTCATTTGCAGGAAAATGGATGGAACATTAGACCATTATATTAAGCAAAATAAGCCAAATTCAAAGAAAGTCAAGGGTTGTATGTTTTCTCTCATTATGTGGAAGCTAGAGAAGAAAATGGGAAAGAAAGGGCAGAGGGATCTCATGAAAATTGAAATGGGCCCTTTCCTCTACCAGAAAAGTAGAGGAAAGGGCCCAGGCAGAGGGAAGAGTGGAGGGGAATGGGAAATACTGAGGAATGATATTAGCCAAGCTATATTGTTATGTTACGTGCATGTATGAGGATGTAACAACAAATCCCACCATGATGAACAACTATAATGCACAAATAAAAAAAATATGGAAAATAATAAAACAGTAATCAAAAAAAAAAAAAAGAGAGAAACTAGGGTTGGGTAGAGGAGGAGAAAAAAATTGACCTCTTTTTTTAACCTTTCTATATTGTGTTCATTTTGATTATTTTCATTTCTTAAAAATATAAGAATTTTTCAAAAAAATGTATGTGCAAAACAATACAGTCAATTGCCATATGATCAGACTTACATGCTTCTTTTCTTTAATATTTATATTTTAGTTGTAGTTGTACACAATACCTTTATTTATTTATTTTTATGTGGTGCTGAGGTTCGAACCCAGGGCCTCACACGTGCTAGGCGAATGCTCTACCACTGAGCCACAACCCCAGCCCCTCAGGCTGACGTTCTGACTATTTTTTTGTTGTTGTTGTTGTTGTTTTTTAAATGGCATGTGCATTTAAAGAAATTCTGTTTCTTTCATTTCAGATTCTCCTCATAGCAGCAATCGCCTGTTTTGTCTCCGGCAAAGCCCACGAGACATATATAGCAATCACAATTCAGGAAGCCTGCATCGTCCTTGTTTTCATTCTAGTATATGTGGTAACCCTTCAACACTTGCTGGTCTTTTTACATTGGCCTTTATTTGTAAGTGTTCATTTTCATAATTCAAGCATAAGCTTTGCCCTCAGCCCCGAGAGTAAAGGGCCTCCTCAAGGCAAAACAACAGAGCTTTCTCTCTAGACAAGGACATTAGCTAAGCTATGACAGTGAGGGTGTTGCCCTGGTCCCAGAGGAGAAACCAGCCTAATGCCCAGAAAGGTTCCTCGGACCCCTCTGCCACAGGAAAGCCAATACCACCCACGCCTACTTTCAGAGTATAAAACCCATCTCGTTAACATACCAAACACATGGTGCTTTGGAGTTCGTCCTAAATGAAAAATTTAAGTAGCACATTCAGTAGGTAAACACATTGCTCACCTACTGCTTGTGAACATGGCAGAGTTATAGAAAGTCCTTCAGAAAACCCTGCAAGATCCTAGGAATCAACCTTTCTGAGGGTGTTAAAGGTTCATACTTGCAAGTGGGGAGTTATCCAGAAAAGGACACACTGCACACACTCCTTTGGTTGCTCTTCCCAGACTCATGTTCTTTACCGACTGAAAGAATTCTAGTTGGTTGGGTCTCAGACTACAGAGGAAGTCTAGGTGTCGTCAATGGATCAATGTCCAGAGGTAGTCGTGGGTCCTGTTCCTAAACTTGCCCCCTTAATAGCTATGTGATCTTCAGCCTCCGTTTCCCCATCTAAGAGATGCAGAGAGGGAAAGTGTGATGATAGTAACTACCTCATAGTGTTCCTATAATATTTCAATGTGTGTAGAGCTGGCACAGGAGTTGACACAAAGTACACATTCAATATGAGTGGTTCCAAAAAAGAAGACCAAACCCAATCCACCATCAGGTGGTTGGAGGCTTTTGTCACTCCATCTTGCACAGTGAACAATCCTGGCTTGGAGCCCACACCTCATTTCCTCATAGCACGTTGTTCTAACCTTAAAGTAGGATTGGTTGCTGTTGAACTAAAACTCAAATATTTTCTTCAAGTGCATGAGGGGTTTTCTGAAAAGGCTGCTGAGCTTTCTCTGTCCCACAGAGTACCAAGCAACAGGAAGCAGACAAAGCAAAATATGAGCAACTTTATTTGGACATTGGAAGACCCTTAGTTATGGAGAGCTATAACCTTGGAGAGGTTTCTGAGGGGAAACTAAAATCTCTGTCCATGGAAATTGTCAAGAAGGGAAGGTAAAGTAACCATTTTTGAGCACATACCATGTGCCAGATACTTCTTCCTATATTGCCTTATTTAATCCTCACAACAACCCAGTGAGGATGTGGTCACCCCACCCCCATTTAATAGATGAGAAAATTAAAGACATGGAGTTGCCCAAGGTCATGTGTGGGTGCATTGAAACTCACTTTAAAGCCCACGTCTGTCTGTCTCTAAAGCCCAGACTCTTCCCAGACTTGATGGTTTCTCTAGCTCCATCCTGCCTAATACCTCCTTAAGGCAAGGAACTCAGTGAGACTATATTTTTCCCTCATCCTCAGATTCTCTAAATTTTCTCCCTGTATCTTCTCCTATTTCCTCATGTTTTTCTTGAAATGTGGAGCCAAAGGTGAATCGATTATCCTGCACTGTCAGCTGTAGTCGGGAGGACCAGAGCCCTCTGAGAAAAGGATTCACTCAGCCTAGATCTACTGCCATAAAACAGGAGAGCTATTCATGGCCAGCCTGGGCAACTTACCGAGACCTTGCCTATTAAAAATAATTTGGAGAGCTGGAGAGGGTCATGAGACACCAGGGTCCAGGGCCAATGTTCAGGAAGTATCCCAGACAGGCTAGATAGAGGTAGGGTCTCTGGGGATGAACCATGTCATGTCTTACAGTGATCACAGGGAGCTCACACCAGCTCTCATAGAATTGCAGTCCTTGATCAACTTCAATAAAGCCAGGTCCCCTTGCCTCGTCTGTCTAGAGTAAGAGAATCCTCCTTTCTTTGAAGATGGCTATGAGAGTCCAGATTTTGATTCAGAGCCCCTGCCTTTTTCTTGCTACTGTTTTCTAAGGCACAGGCTAGTGTCATAGCATATAGATATGCCTGGTGAGCTCTCAAAAGCTTCAGAGTGGGGAAACTGTCTTACCAAGAAGATGGCCCAGTTCTGATGCTCCACTAACTAATCTTACGTGTACTGAGCAAGCACAGTTGGTTAGATGGTGAATGATCTAATTGATTTGGGAGTGTTTAAAGACCCATCAAAACAGGACCCAAACTCTCCTATCCAGTCCCTTCCTTTCTAATCTTCCCTTATGGATTCCATGAGATGTAATATATGTACATACCCATTTCTCAGGGGACAGGTAGCTACCACTTGGTAATAATAGGGAGGCCTTGGCCCAGCAGGTAAAGTGCTGGTGTAGTGAGGGTGTTGGTGCTAGAAGGTGATGACTTGGTACTTCAGAGTGTAGGTGGACTTGGAAATGTGTTGACCTTAAGCTGCAGGAATCACTTGGGATCTTGCCACAAGATCAGTACAGGAAGCCACAGAACCCTCAACCTGTTTCATACTGGAACGGTTTTCTGAGCTCTGCACGGGCTCATCGGCCAACAAGAGTCACCCAATACTCGTGGCTGCCACTTCCTTTCAGTCTTTCTTTCCCAGGAAAATAGTTTCCTTCCCAGGAGGTAGGATTAGGGTAAGTGGTGATTTCTAACACCAGGGTAGAGTTCCTTGTTTCCCTGTTCTCATTCTTATCTGGCAAAGGACTGAGGATAAAGGTCCCCACCAGGAAGACAGAAAGTCTAACTCATCAGGGCTTTAGATCCTCAGTAAATCTTTTTTACTTTAAATCCTCAGTAAAATCTTTCTGCATCCTCAGATTCAGATACAGGTGGTCTGCTGAGATCTGTGGACTCTGGGATTACATTTTGCCAGGACCACCTTCTGGACAGTCTCACACTAAGTCTGAGTTTAGCTGCTTTTTAAAATAAGTCTGTGCCAGGGACCCTGACACATGGGGAGGTAGCATTTTGAGGGTTATCAACTTTACCTATCTTGGTCTCTTGTCATCTGCCAATACAGCCAACAAAAGTATGGGTTATAACTATTGTCTTCCGAGTAGCCTATATTTTAAACATTTCTCTGCTATCAAAAGTATTACCCAGGATGGTCATCTCCAGTCAAGGAGATGTTTTTGCCAATAGAAAGCAATTCTTTTTAAAAAGAATATAATAAACATAAACTAAAGCCTTATAGAAGTGATGATTCCAAAACTATCTGCAACGTCTTTACATTTATAAGAAACAGCATCCACTTTTGAATGTCCCCTTCAGCAGGGCCTGGTTGTATACACCTGTAATCCCCGTGACTCAGGAGGCTAAGATGGGAAGATCACAAGTTCAAGGTTACCCTTAATAACTTAGTGAGACACTCAGCAATTCAGAAAGAACCTATCTCAAAATTAAAAATAAAACAGCCTGGGAATGTAGCTGGGTTGTAGAGTGCCCCTGGGTTCAATCCCCTGTAACAGCAGAAAAAAAAATTTTTTTTAAATAGAATGTCCCTTCAAATAAGTTTATTGTAAAATAACAATTTTGGTAATTTCTGGCCGGCTTCTGTCATGTATTTGGAGAACTCTGGGAGTAAATGAAACCAACAAAAGTTGCCTTTAGTTATTGTTATTGTTTGTAAATTCCTATTGCAAATTCCACATTTTGTGAAACAAATTATAAGTGTTTAAATTTGTTTTGATATTCAGTGATTTTTAAAAATAAGCGTTCAATATTAAAGCATATTTTTTCTTTCCTAGTTACAATTTTATGCAATTTTGTATATCTCAGAGGCTGATTTGGGAGATTTACCTGGAAAATAATAGTCAAGTAGTAAACCTACTTCTCATTTTAGTCAGGGGACACGATTTGAGTCAATAGGATATTTAGGAAAAAATGAAAAAGATAATGAGTAAGGACAGCAGCCAGGGAAAGCTGAAGTCCTGCAGCACGTGGCTGGGTCCAGCTGCAATCATAGCCCAGCCATCAGGCAGAACACATCTGTCTGTCTGTCCAGATGAGGCCAATAAGTGGTCTGTGTCTAAGGCAAAGGGAGGAAGATGGTTGATAAGGTGGCCTCGGGCACTGGAGTCAACTGCTGAGGGTCCTAGCTACTGGCTGGCTCAGCCACCCTTGGGAAAGTTGCTTACCTATCTTTAAATTGGGGATAATAAAAGTTGTTGTGAGAATCAAATGAAAATACACATTGACAATTTGGCACAATGCATAACACATAGTAAGTGCTCAATAAATGTGAGCTACAGTAGCAAGCTACAAGGCGACTCTGAGTTGTGAGAGACAGTTCAGGACAGTACTTCTTTGTAAGCAGGGACCAGAGCAAATTATTGTGTCCAGTTGTCTACTGAGGAGATAGGACATGGAGTCAAAGATTAGCTGGGCCTAGTCTGTGGCTGGTTTATTTTATATTACTATTATATCATTATTAATGTGCTTTCATCCAAATTCTTAATGATCCTGGACCACGGCTGGTTCATTGGGATTTTTAAAAGTTCACACTCTGCTTCTTAGTTGTAAGCATTCTCATTTGCATCTTTAAATATTTTGGATAACACAGCCCTCAAGTGCTAAGCCTTCTGCACCGCTGTCAACTCTGTGCCTGCTTCAATTAGGCCTACCCACTGTAGGCATCTCACTTAGCCTGCAGAACCCTACTGGGACTTGCTCTTTCCAGAGGCAAGTCATGTTCCATGATAGAGGTCCTGGCTCACCAACCTCAACAGGAAGAACACCTGGAGTTTGTAGAAAGTATACTACCTGTGCACATTTGGGGGGCAGATGTCATGAATCCATATTCTGATGCACTCCCACTACCTACTAGAGTCCTATTATCAGATGTTTTCAGATTCATTATACCATTTAATCCTCAGATCAACCCAATGATGATTCCCATATTAAATTATCAAATTGGCAGAGGGGTGACAAAACTTGCTCCAAGTCACACATATAAGAAATGACAGGCCAAAAGAGTTCAGCAACAAAAACACTCTCAACTTATTTGTTCCATACGTTTTGACCTTCCAGACCCATTCCACAGAAAATGTCAAAAGTGGATTAAAACCAGTCATGGTGGCACATGCCTGTAATCCCAGTGACCCGGGAGACTGAAGCAGGAGGATTATAAATTAGAGGCCAGCCTCAACAACTTAGTGAGGCCTAAGCTACTTAGCAAGACCATGTCTCAAAATAAAAATTGAAAAGGGCTGGGGATGTGGCTCAGTGTTTAAGCTCCTCTGGGTTCAATCCCTGGTATCAAAAAAAAAAAAAATAGATATGATACTACACTTTTAGTTTAGGTCTCGGATCAGAGACATCAGTGAGCTGAGTTCTGTTATTCAATATTAGGCAACTTAATAATCTTCTCTAAGCCTCCTTTATGTTTACTGTAAAATGGGGATCATGATATTATTGACTTTGGAGGCTGCTTTTTGATGGTTAAGTGAGAAAATGATTGGAAAATGCTTGGCACACTGATGAGCTTCATTCATAGCATCCTGATCCCATACACCGAATGGCAGGGCTCCTGTCTCTGTTTGAGCACTAGAATGCTCTACTGCCAGTCAGGCCATCAATATTTCAAATATTCAAATTAGGTATCTGGGCCATCGGGTGATTTCTAGCACCCCAGGCTTTGGCCCCTACTCACACACGGGTGCCACTGGCTGGTGTTACTTAGCCATGGAAGTGCAACATCTGCTCACACTGCCCTGGCTCACCAACCTCAACAGGAAGAACACCTGGAGTTTATTCATCCTCACCTTTTCTTTCAGCATACAAAGAGATAGGTTGAACTATCAGTTCAAGAACTCAATACTGAAATCCAGAATAAAGCCTCGAAGCCCAGAATGGTGGTGCAGGCCTGTAATACTAGTGGCTGAGGAGGCTGAGAGAGGAGGTCAAAGCCAGCCTCAACAAAAGCAAGGCCTAGCAACTCAGTGAGACCCTGTCTCTCAATAAAATAAAAAATAGGGCTGGGGATACGGCTCAGTGGTGCCCCTGAGTTCAATCCCTGGTACCAAAAAAAAACCAAAAACAAAGAACCTGCAGATGTTGGGGCAGACAATTCTGGTCACATCTCAGGAAAGAGCAAAGTCAACTGCACAGCCATTCACTCCAGAAAATCATTCCTGGTCCTTAGAGGGGTTCAGGCATTCTCAGAGCATGTGAACTCGGAGAATGAATGTGACCGCAACTTCAAGAGCATTGAAGATTTAGGAGTGGAATCCAGTCAGCAAAGTGATAATCTAAAATTATACTTCTCCTCCAATATTATTTTTACATTAAAACAAATGTGCTATAAATAGAATGCATACTAGGCATAAGTTTAAAATATTATAAGACTTCAGAAAATCATATTGAGGCAGTGCCAATTTGGGCTAGCCCCTAGACTATTAGAGGGTTTTTTTTAAAATATTTTTTTTTAGTTGTGGTTGGACACAATAACTTTATTTATTTATTTATTTATATGTAGTGCTTTGGATCAAACCCATCGCCTTGCACATGCTAGGTGAACGCTCTACCGCTGAGTTACAACCCCAGCCCCAGACAATTAGGTTTTTTTTTTAATTTTTTATAGTTGTAGATGGACAGAATGCCTTTATTTGTTAATTTTTATGTGGTGCTGAGGATCAAACCCAGTGCCTCACACATGCTAGGCAAGTGCTTTTCCACTGAGCTACAACCCCAGCCCCCATTAGGTTTTTTATGCTCACTTTCCTATGCACTTGAAGAAAAGTTGTTGTTGGTGGTGGATTTTTTAATGGTGTTCCAAAAGGAACCTATCTCTGGAAAGTCCCTATCCAAGACAAAATATTACATAAATTCATGTCTCTAGAAAATATAAGAATTATGCTCTGAAGGTTCCTTTTAATCTCAAAGGGAAAGTGTATAAAAGACATCATTCTTAGATGTGTAATTGACCAATTTAAATATTTTATGAAATTACATTTTCATAAAAAGTTGACCATTTTTAACTTGCATTACAGGATCTTATCAACAGTATCATTTCAACTGTATTCCTTTTAGTAGTTGCCATCTTGACAGGGCAAGAAAAGGAAAGAAGGCCATTATTTTATATTGGAGGGGTAAGTAGACTCCATTTGAGATGGGTATTCTAAGACTCTGAAAAAAGGAAACTGGCAGACTATCATTATGTCATTAACAGATTTCCACTGCCACGCCTTGTTTTTTTGCAGTGACTTCTTCAGATGATATAGTTACACAAACTCTAAGCTTATGAAAATCACAATTCTAATATGCATTTTTCAAATAAACACAAAAAAACACCAAGAATTTGCAGAACCCCTCTTGAGAATCATATACACCACTTTTGAAATATTACAAGATTTTTTTTGCCTATAAGTAAGACTGACTTTTCTGGGCTAGAGAATTATATTTTAGAAACAGATGAAAAGAGAGATTGTAGCACATTGTCAAAAGTTGAGTAACCCAGCCCCTTCAGGAAGGCACTCCTGCCTCATGCTCAAGTGCCAGTGGGTGTCATGCACCAGGCTAGGCATGTTCTGACTTCATCTTTATAGACAAAGTTCTGGGTCACAAGACTGGGACAAACTGGAACTCAAACCCACATCATATGAGAGAACACAAGAAATGGCACGTAAAGGCTTGGAAGATGGGGGTGGGTGGGAATTTGGTTCAAGGAGTTAAACAATGGGGACAGAAATTAATCCAGAAGGGAAGGGAAGAGTTTAAATTCTTTGAATTTATTCCACCATCAATAAAAATTTTGTCAATACCACTGGATTATGTGAAACCACAGCTCAGTGCTGATAGTAGGGCCCTGTCACCCTGGGGAGCTCACACATTAGCAGAGGCAAGACCTACCAGCAAACTTCATTAAGCATCCAGGGATCAAGTAATCAAGTGATTATGAAAATAAACATCCAGTTCTATTGCCCTGGTCCCCATCTACTAACTCAGCGACTAAGCCTTGCAGGGGTTCCTACCCATTGTTGACTAAGTATCAGTAGCCCAACACACACACACACACACATACACACACACACACACTCCTCCTTGCTCCAGCCTTGTTCACTTTCCATTTATCCCACGACCACTGCAAGTAGGTTTTTCTGAGTTTCAAACCTTTTTCTCACCAGACTCTGCATGGGGGCAACCTCAAGTTTGACTCTTCTCTCAGAGGTTTGGCCTCACCGCATTCAGGAGATTTCAGTCTAGTGCCTGGGTTCTTTTCTTCCCAGTTGGGTCCCTTGGGCACTCCTTTTTGCTCTTGGAAACAGATCAAGAATTCTTTCCACTGAGACCTTCTCAGAAGTCCCCACCCCACCCCTGCTGGAGTTTCCCAGTGCTTTCCTGATACCTCAAGGCATGAAAGTTGTAAAGGTGGGGGGATGGGGGCGGGAGTGTTACACTCTGGCAGCAAAATCACCATTTCCAACTCCCCTTCTGGAAGAAAGGCAGAGCAGGCAGGGAAAGGGTATGGGAGGGTGGAGGTTACAGGAGACCCCTCTCAACAGCTCCTGCCCTGAGGTTGGGAGAGCCTTGAGGGGTTGGCTCTGAGCTGCAAAGTAACCCAACTTTCCCTTCCCTCCTGTGGTCTTGTGTCTGACAGGTCTTCTGTCTGGTAGCGGCAATCGTGTGCCTCATCGATGCATTGGTGGTCACCAAGGAGATGAGGACTGCCATGAAAAAGGCCGCCAAAGTCAAATTCGTGCTTCCCAAAGCCAAGAAACCCAAGCCCCAAGCGAGCTGAAGGTCGTGCCAGCACCTTCGCGGATCCACCCGTTTGTGTCTGTGTGTAACCACTCCCTCCGTGCTACTCCTGAGCTCACACACTGTCATCCAATCCGGCCTCCATGTGAACATAAAATCAGGACTGCTAAGTCGGGAGCACTTCTGCTTCTTGGTGTTGCCTTGTGTGAAAGTCCTGTGCACGGTATTGCGCCGGCGGAGCCCCCAGCCCCGGAGGCTGCGGGGAGGGGCGTGGCCCCAGGGTTCCTGCCTACCGGGGCCCCAAGGCACGAGCGAGCGGCGCCCACAGACCTGGGGCTGCCTGGCAAAGTCTCGCTAGGAGGAGAGTTCCTCCCTGAAGTGGGACCCAGTGGAGGCTCCTGGGTGGAGGGTGGGCGGATGTGGCCGCCGCCGAGTGGGTGCGACCTGTGCAGGGCCACGCGGTGAGGCAGGCGGGCGCGCGCGGAAAGGGCACAGGCGTTGGTTTTCGCTGATGAAGGCAGTTAGCTAAGCTGGGGGCGCCCTGAGAGGTCAGTAGCACCAGACTCTCCAACAGGTCCGACCTGGCCACGGACTGCAGGAGAGGTTAGCAGGCCGCGAGAAGGCGAGGGCCCCTGCCAAAGATGGCTGATAAAGCCAAGAAGCAAGAGCCCGTGGATGAAGTGGGCACAAGGACCGGATTTACCCGCTACAAATGGGAATTGAAAAGCAGCAACAAAGAGTTCTGGCGCTCAGGGCACGCAGTGGTCAAGTTAATAAGTGTGGTGAGACGGACCTTGGTTCTAAGGCCAGGGATGGGGAGGAGGAAGAGCTGGCTGCAGGGGTCCTCGGAGGGGCTCGGCAGTCAAGGACAGCCCTCTGCAGCTGCTCATGTATATTTTTTCCACGCAGATCTGCCTGTTCTTAGCACTGGCATACTTCAACGCAGCCACGGCGCACCCTGCCTTGACTCTCATCATCACCTTGGAGGTGTTCATCTTTTTCTTCTTCATTATCATATACACCTTTGCCATCCAAAGATACCTGGTTTTCATCTTGTGGCCAGTTTCTGTAAGTGAGGGGCAGTGGGAAAGGCCGGGTTGGTGTGCCCTTCCTATGTCTATGTTAGCAACTGGAAAGTGACTGAACAGAACAGCCTCACCTCGCATGCTCGTGCTCAGGACCTAGATGTGGTCCAGGCAAGGGCAGCTAGGCAGGTGGGGGAAAGCTAGGCAGAAAATGCTCCCCCAAACCAAGCTGTGTGTGTTGGGGTGGGTTGTGTAGGGAGGGGACTCTTATTGCCAGTCAAAAGCTTCACTGTTTTTGAAGGAATCAAAGATGTAACCACCAGCTCTTCCTCCTAACCCGTTTGCTGGCATACACTGATTGGGAAGATCATTGCAGAATTCAAAGAATAAAATCAACCAACTTGTAAGTTAATAAGATAAAATGAGAATTTCTTTTAAATATCACTTCTAAAGCAGCCGTACATCTCCTGTGAGTATTCCCATGAAGGATGATTAGTTCAGAAGGCTGTCAGCCCAAAGCAGTCCCCTAACTGCTGGGCATCTACTCAGCCTGTTTCCTCATCTATGACATGAAGACAATAATAATCCTTGTGGGGCGGGTGTGGCAGCACACACCTGTAATCCCAGGAACTTGGGAGGCAGAGGCAGGAGGATCACAAGTTCAAGGCCAGCCGGGGCAACTTAGTAAGACCCATCTCATTCATAAATAAATAAATAGGCTGAGGATGTAGCTCAGTGATAGAGCACCCCTGGATTCAATCCCCAGTACCACCAAATAAATAAATGAACCTGCCAAAAAGTAAGTGACTTATGTAAAAATTATAAAATTTTATTAATGGATCATCAAAGATAAACCTAGATAAATGGAGAAATACACCACATTCACAGGTGTGAAGAGTTGCTATCATAGAGATGACAATTCAATTCAGAACTTAATAGGAGTTTTCATGGAACTTTACCAGGCAATTCTAAAACTCTTAAGGAAGAATTAAAAGAATTATAAGGGATGGATTTGCCCAATAAGACCTCAGATTTCCTAGCTCAGGGACTGATAAAAAAATCTAATAAGATTGTTAGAGCCCAAATTTTTGTGTCCTCTCCAAATTCATATGCCAAGATCCTAATTCCTAGTGTGGCTATACTTGGAGATGGGGCCTCTAAGGAAGTAATTAAGATTAAAAGTGATAAGGTAGGGACCCTGATCCCATAGCATCATATACTTGTAAGTAGAGACATCAGATTGATATCTCTCTCTCTCTCTCTCTCTCTCTCTCTCTCTCCATCTCCATGCACACACATTTAGTGAAGAAAGGTTATATGAAGACATAGGGAAAAAGTCATCTCCAGCCAGGAAGAGCCTTTGCCAGAAACCAATTTTAGCACCTTAATCAGGGACTTCTAGCCTTTAGAGCTATAAGAAAATAAATGTCTGCTTTTTAAGCCACCCAGTCTGTGGTATTTTCTTATGGCAGCCTGAGCAGAGTAATACAGAAATAGAAAAGAGAACTTAGACTCCATTATATGGTGGCTTGATATGTGACAGAGGTGGCATTACAAAACCGTTGAACAGAATAGTCATTAAGTGTTCCTGGGAGTACTGTGGGAGATAAGAAGAGAGAGGGACAGACGATGTATCCCTTAAAATTAAAACTTTACAACAGAAGACATAAAAATTTTAAAACAAACCATATTCAAATAGGACAAGAGATGTGAAGAGGAGGTCCACATACCTAAAACATATGTTTTTTAAATATTATTTTAATATTCATTAGTGACCAAAGGCATCAAAATTAAAATAGCATGGAGGCACCATTTCAATTTATCAGATTGGCAAATACATTAATAATCCAGATGATCCTGGGTGTTGGCAAGGACAGGAGCATGGGAGACAGGAGCTGTTACTTATGGCTGGTGCAAGTGTAAACGCCACTAGCACTTCAGAGACAAAGCTTGGTAAAACCTAGCTAAGGAGATTGGCAGGGGTAGGTGGGGTGCACAGACAAGGGGGATCATCATTGCAGCAGAGTTTGGAAGAAGGATTTTTTAAAACTCTCTCTCTATTGGTTCATTTAAACTCTCTCTCTATTGGTTCATTCCTACAGTAAACTGCATCAGATAACAGTGATAAATGTTTCTCAATATGGATAAATCTTAAAAACTTTAAAAAGCAAGTGTCGGCTGGGCATGGTAATCCCAGCAGTTCAAGAGGCTGAGGTAGGAGGATTGTGAGTTCAAAGCCAGCCTCAGCAATGGCAGGATACTAAACAACTCAGTGAGACCCTGTCTCTAAATAAAATACAAAATAGGGCTGGGGATGTGGCTCAGTGGTTGAGTGCCCCTGAGTTAATCCTCAGTAACAAAAATAAATAAATAAAAAGCAAGTGTCAGAAAATATGCTACCTTTATTTAAACTTTTGAAACAAAATATATTGTTTATGAATATATAATATTTAGGAATATTCAAACTCAGGAAAAGTGCATATCAGTTTCTGGGAGACAGAGGGACAGGAAGAGGGACGGGAGGGTGAGATGGTAGCTCATTCTGTAAAGTTAAGGTCTCTTCCATGTTTTTAAGAGATCGCGAAGCAAATATTGCAAGATGTTAATATCTATGAAATTTCAGGGCTTGGTGATCTGGTGGAGGTGGGATGTTGTATTATTTTCTGTGCATTCGAAATGTTTCAAATTCAAAACAAAAGACCTGAGATGTGGTGGCCAAGGAAGGACAACCAGCAGAAGATGGCATGATGGAAACCCAGGGGGAAGTGGTGTAGCCAAACACTGCAGGATTGGCAGCCTCTCATGGGCAAGCACGTTTTTGTCCCAGGCTCTCATCCCAGGAGCATTAGAAGGGGAGGCTGGTCTGATATGGCCATCATTTGGCCAACTCAAAGAAGCTTTATTAGTAGGGCCAGGGAGGCAAGAAGATGGCAAGGGCAAGACTGAAGCCGCAGGAATGGAGGGAAAGGTCTATGAAGGAGGCAGCCTTCCTGCCTTAAAGAGGGCAGGGGATATAGGAAGAAAGGCAGGGGCAGGGCTGAAGAGGGAGCTTCCAGGCTCCCAGTGAGGGACCTCCTGCTAGCAATGCAGCTCACCCCTGCTCCAGAGTGCAGGCCCTGAGAGCAGAAAGAGCATGCCAGGCAGTCCTCAGAAGGAACACCAGGAAGTCATATGTGTGGTGGGGGGACCAGATACGTGATTTTATAGAGGAGATGGCTGGTGGCAGTTGTGTGTCTCCCCAGGCTCTAGCCCAGGGCAGTTAAGCCTGGACTTTGAATCCCCTATTCAAAGACCCCAGCTGGGAGGCACTGGTATATCCACCTAGCCTGGGCCACATATACCTTTTAATATGTTATATATAGGTTTTAAAAATCAGGTAGGAGTTTGAAAAACAGGAAGCTATGCTGGGTCAGCTGTTGCTGGGGATTGGCCCTTCAGAGGCTGACTCTCTCTCCCACTCTCAGGACCTCCTCAACGACTTGTGCTGCTTCGGGTTCCTCATGGGCGGCATATTCTTTGCTATAAACAGTCGAGAAACAATGCCAGTGGAGTACGTCGTTGGTGTGGTGAGTCTTGAGTGATTGGGGTGTTTTCCTTATTTAAGGAAAGAGCTCATTTTCACACACACACAAAAAAAAAAAAATTCTTGAGATGAAAGCCAAGTTTAAAACTAACGTTGGTAAATATTTCCAGTGAAAAAGCCATGTGGTTAAAGATGATGCCCAGGGAGCTGACCCAAGTTAATGGCTTCCTTCTTGAAGCTGCTGACCCCAGAGCAAACGGTCCCATCTGGTTGGTTCTAATACTTTTTTTTTTTGTATTGGGGATTGATCTCAGGGAAACTCGACCACTGAGCCACATCCCCAGCCCTATTTTGTATTTTATTAAGAAACAGGGTTTCACTGAGTTGCTTAGCGCCTGGCTTTTGCTGAGGCTGGCTTTGAACTTGTGATCCTCCTGCCTCAGCCTCCTGAGCAGCTGGGATTACAGGCCTGCACCACCACCTAGCCTGGTTGGTTCTAAAGAGAAAAAGAGACTTAAGGACAGGGGAAGGGGAGGATTGAACTCAGAGAATCTCAGTGTGGAAGTTTGAGTGGACAAGGGGATATGTTAACTGGCATCAGTGGATGAATTACAAAACAGGATGTTTTTTGCAATGTTCTGAGGATCCTTTTGTCTTCCAGGCCCTCATGGGTGTGGCAGCACTGTTTGCTTTTATCGATTTATGTCTTCAAAGAAAACACTTTGGCAAGAAGGGCCCTCCAGCTGCTCCTCCACCAGCGTCATGAAGGAGATTCCCATTTCAGAAATGGAAGTGTATTTTACAGCAAAACACTTGGACTGTCTTCCTGGTCTGCTTTCTAGAATGGTTTTCTTTTCCATTTTAACAACTTCCTCTTCTTGGAAAAGAATTTTCTCCTTAAATGAATTTTAAAACTCGAAGTTGATGTAAACATTCTTTGGTTCACTTAACAAAAGTTACTGGAAGTTATGGTACAGAGGGAGAGACCTGAGACCCAGGGCTCCCTGGGATCACTCTTGGGCCAAGGCACAGAGAGTTTAGGGGACCAGATACACCAATGACACTGGTGTTTGTCAACACTGACCAGCCAAAGGGGCCAGAGGAAAATAAGAGATTGGAAAACAAATGAATGCATACATTTTGTTCACATTAATATTCTCATTTTATATTTTTTAAAGCATCCAAGTGGTCATTGTGAGAAAAATAAGTTTGTTGGACTTCCTTGCTCTTACAATGGCGTTTAATGCTGATCCTCATTTGAAGTTCACTAAAGAGGGGTTGGGGGGAATGTCATCACCTCAGGGCCTAAACTGGGCTGGAAATATGGGCTGAACTTGGGCATGAGGGGACACTGGGGGTACTTCACTCAGAGATGACCAGCTACTTTTCTGGGACCTGGGACCTGAGCATAATCCCTGAGCCAGACTCCAGCTAAACCCTGGAGCCACAGTCTCCACCAAAACCCCTGTTTTAGTTAGCTTTTTCACTGTTGTGACTAAAGGACACAACCAGGACAACGGTAGAGGAGGTAAAGTTTGAGGGGTCACAGTTTTAGAGGTCTTGGACCATAGAAGGCTGGCTCCATTCCTCCAGACTCAAGGTGAGACAGAACATCATGGCATAAGAGTACGGCAGGGGGAAGCAGCTCATATGATGATCAGAAGCAGAGAGACTTCACTCTCCAGATACAAAATATACCCAATGAACCACTTCCTCCAGCCACACCCCAACCTGTATCCAGTTACCACTAAGTTAATCCCATCAGGGATGAATTCAGTGACTAGGTTGAGGCTCTAACCTAATCATTTCTCCTCCAAACCTTCTTGCATTGTCTCATGCATGAGCTTTTGCAGGACACCTCATACCCAAACCGTAACAGTCTCCCAAGCCTCCCCACCAGGATCCTGCTCTCACTGGACAGACCATCCATCATGGCTTGAGAAGGGCCATTCTCATGAAAAGAAAGTAAGCCTCCAAATGGATGCCTGAGGAAAGGGGTTTCTTGGAGCCCTAAGCCCAGACAGAGACAAAGTGGGGGAGAGGCTGGGCCTTGGGGGCCAAATAAATGACTTGGGCCTTTATCCCAAGTGACTTGGCACTCCATGAAGATGAGGGAGTGCAGGGTCCACTTTTCTCCAGGAGAAGACCAGGCTTGGTTGCTGCTGCAGAGTGGGTACAAACTGTAAGGAGGCTGCAGCTTGTGCAGGTCAGGGAGACGGGCAGCTGGGACAGTGTGAAGACCTGAAATGTGGAGGACTCAGGCCGGCTCCTCCACCCCACCTGTCCACTACTCACTCCTCTGTGCTCCCAAACCACCCTGTGCAGGCTGCAAGCAGTGTGAAAGCAACTAGAGGGAGCCCCATGATAGGAAGAAAAGAAAGGAAAAACCCACTACCCTGCCAGTAACCCAGAATTCCTAAGAATTTAGCCAAGAGGAATGGTACTGGATAAGATAGGATAGACAGTAAATAGACAATAGAGGAACGGATTCCATTAAGGTTTCTCTAAATGTAAAGCCATCTGTGAGATTAATCTATAGAAGGAAACCAAACATTCCAACCAACTCCTTTATCCAGGGGTAGTGGGGAAAGGGAGGCAAGACAGACCTGAGTATAGGCTACAGACTCGAGGGCTAATCAGTAGTCTTGGTACTTTTCCAATTCCTGATTAGCATAGATACCAACCGATGCCTATACCCAGTAGCTATATAAGCCTCTAGACTAGTACCCTTAAGAGGCAATTCCTATTGGGTCCCCTCTTGCCCTCCAGGAGGTATATCTGATCTCACTTGAACAAATCTTTTACACTCACTCTTCTTTGTCCATGGATTTCACTGTTCGAATTCACAAGACAAGAACCCAGAAAGAAATTATGGGTGAGCTGCTAGGGCATTCTGCAATACTGGGAGACACAGCTTGCCACTGAGAGCTGCTAATCAGAATGGGCTTTCTCAGCTGCAGAATCCTATAACTTACACAGATCCTACCCACTGGCAGAAGCAGAGAATCTGATTTTGTCTTAAACTGCAGTTTCAATATACTGGAATGTTCCTAACAGCCAAAAAACTAGACAGATAAACTGTGCTGTTGTGGAAATCACGTTCAGCAAGAGACCAAGCACCACTCAGGGTTGAAGAACTCAGGTTAGTTATGCCAGTGGACCCAAATTAGCTAGTGCTCTGAAATTCTGGGCACTGTGCTGAGGTAACATGGGACTTTTATAAGAAATGTGACATCATTTCTTAGCTATTACAACATTGGTGGGTTTGAATTCTTGGCCTATGTGACCAAAGACCATGCACAGGAATTCTCTGGATAAGCAGTTCACAGATGCAGGACAAAGGCAGAGAAACACCTGCGAGTGATATCACAAAGTGGCCTTCACTCCAGGCAGCAGTTTCCCAAGATAACTGTAAGCTTACATCTCTAATATCTATCTATCTATATAAAAAACCTAGCATAGAAATGTTACAATTTAAACAAGTATTTAAACTACACTCTTAGAGACCAGTAATTAAGTAACACTCTTACAAAGAGTGCTATAAAGTAATATTCCCCTCCTCAATGGTACTGTGCCACTATAGCTTATTTTAAAACTGATACTTTTCCCCTTCCTCTTCTCCCTCTCCTCTAATCCTGTGGGGTGGGGAGCAAGAATAACTTTCTTCCCATCTCAGGAGGAGTTATCTGTCCTTTGGCTCACACAGGAAAGAAGAAGTCAAGACTTCAGAGTTGACTATTAAAAATACAGTGACTGTGTACATTGTAACGGTTAAGTCTTTGAACACCCACGTGCTTTGCTTTCGCTTCCACCGGGTAAATAGCATAAGTAAAATGGCTGGGTCACACAGTAAGCCAACGTTAACCTTTTTAAGAAATGGCCAAACTTTTCCAAAGCAGTGGTAATAATTGACACCCCCTATCCCCAGTATAGGAGAGTTCCAATGACTCTACATCCTCACCTGTACTTAATAATGCTCCCCCATTTTAAGCTATTTTAATAGATATATAGTAGTATCTCACTGCAGTCTTAATTTGCATACCTAGATGTCTAATGAGGCTGAGCATATTTGCACTTTATTGAATATTCATATACCTTCTTTGGTGAAATATCTGTTCAAATATTTAGAAAATCTTAAAAATTGGGTTCTTACCTTCTTATGACTGAGATACAGTCAGAGCCATATTTTTAATAACAAATCAGAACAGGGTTCTGCTCTTTTAGGACTCCCAACTGGCCTCTTGCCCAGGGAATTGTGAATAAAATCCAAACACCAGGTTCTCCACAACCCCAACCTGGCCCTTCTCTGATCAGTTTCCTCTTCAGTCCTTTCTTTGATATTACCTGCCTGGCTGTCCTCTGAGCCAGTAGACACCTATTACCAGGAATCATCTTATTTGGAATTCTTTGACTACTTAGGACTCTTTGCTCCCCTGTAACTCCCCAAACAGCAGAGCTTCTCCACAGTCTGGGCTTCCAGCACTGCTATTAAATGAACAGACGAATGTTGAGAAAGACTTCTCTGAGGAAATGACACTGCATTATGGTCCCTGAGGAATAAGAATTTAACCAGATAAAAAAAAGTTGAGAAAGAGCATTCCAGGTAGAAGAGAGAGCATGAACAAAGGCCCTGCGACAGGAAGGAGCATGGTTTGTTAAACAAACTATAAGAAGGTCAATGGTTGGGAGAGACAAGGGAGGAAAGAGCCACAGGGGCGTTTATCTTGTGTACACCAGATCCTGAGCAAGATGGGAAGTTGCCCAGATTGGGTTTGGTTGGTTTGGTTTGGTTTGGTTTGGGGGAGGGTGGTGGTGGTGGAAGTGACTGTGATTGGTGATTTAATCATCCTTCTGGCTGCCAAAGGAGGAAGACAAGATGCTTCTTAAAGAGCAACCACAATTCAGGAAGAAAGGAGCAGTACGAAATGGACCGAAGGAGGCGCTGAGGTCAGCACCTCCAATCCCAGTGACTTGGAAGGAAGGTCGGAAGTTCCAGGCCAGATTCTGCAATTTACTGAGACCCTGTCTCAAAAATTTAACTAAAAAAAAAAAAAAAGGCGGGTATGGGGGAGTCGATGGTGTAGGTCAGTGGTAAAGCATCCTGGGGTTCAATTACCAGTACCACCCCCCCCCAAAAAAAAAAAGTGGGTAAAGATCAGAAAGTTGGACAGGCCTTGGTAGTGGACTGACTGTGAGGGTGAGGGTGGAGGGGGACAACCCCCAGTCTCTATTTGTGAGACTCAGGACAAATGGTAGTGCCCTTCACAGAGGCCAGGAGCCGAGGACGCCGAACTCTAGACGCCCTGGAGACACGTGGTATGTGGCGGGGTGGGGGAGAGGGAGAGAGAGACGCGGGGGGAAGGGAAGATGGGGTGGGAAGGAGAGAAATAGGGACAGCAGCGATGCGTGGGCGTCCCCCGGGATGGACTGGAAAACCCCGGCCCCGGGCAACCAACAAAGAGGCCCGGAAGGAGGAGGCGCTGGACTAGGACGGACGGGGGTGACCAAGGAAGTCACAGGGAAACTCCAGCTCCGAGAAAGAGGAGGGAATGGAGCAAGGAGCTGGAGGCCAACGCAGGGCCAGGGCAGAGGGAGGACGAGGCGGGGGTCTTTGCGGTTGAGATGCCTACGTTCTTGGGCACGGGCAGGGGCAAGAAGTTCGACAGGCGACAACGACTGCAGACAACCCTGCCCGGATGCGGGAGCTCGGTCGGGGTGCCCAGGGGCGGTAATAAGGGGTCTACGCGGCCGAGCGAGGGGTAAGGCGAAGTGCGAGGCGGCGGCGGCGGCTGACGGGGCGGCCTGGTGGCCCGGGTGCGAGAGAGGGGAGGGGACGGAGAGGAGGGGACCCGGGGGCGGGGCGGGGGCGGGGGCGGGGCGGCACGGGATGCACCCAGCGCTGGGCCAGTCTCGCCTCTTTCTCCTTCCGCACGGTCTGGGTTTCCGCTTCCCTTCCAGGCGCGGAGTGAGGAGGGAGGCAGAGCCTCGGCCCTGCAGCCGCTGCCATGTGGCCCCCGGACCCGGACCCCGACCCGGAGCCCGAGCCCGCGGGCGGCTCCCGGCCTGGCGCTGCGGTCCCCGGGCTCCGCGCCCTGCTGCCGGCGCGCGCCTTCCTCTGCTCGCTCAAAGGCCGCCTCCTGCTGGCGGAGTCGGTGAGTGCAGTGGGGACCCTGCCCGCGACCCTGTCGAGGCTGCCCCGATCCCCGCCCACCAGCCTCCGCGCCCCGCCGGGCTGCGACCGCCCGGCTCCTCTCGGAGGCTGACGTCGAGATGGCGGGGGAACGGATGTCGCGCTCCATCCCCATCTGGGCGCCCCACTCGCGCCTCCCCTTGAAAGCCCCCGAAGTTGGACCGACGCCCGCAAGTTTTGGAAGGCCTCACTGAACCCGAAGCCGAGTCGGCGGCGAGGCGGGTCCCAAACCCAGGCCTCCCCGAGTTCCTCAACCCGCGAAGCCCAAGTTGGGGGCCAGAGGACGCGGTGTGGGGGACCCTGGTGAGGAGTTTGTCCCCGCGGGCCTGGCGCTGTGCAGTTTCAGGCGCTTCCACCCTCCCTGGGCCCTTGGAACCCGCTTGGCAGCGTGCAGAGAGGATCTGGCTGCTGGACGTTCAGGACTCGCGGCCGTGGGGGAGGGTCTGCTTTCCGCCTGGGCCTCGAGCTGGGGCCGGAGGCTGGGAGGGGGCCGCGTGGAGTGGGAAGCCCCGGCCCCGGGACTGGGTGAGGCCTGGATCGCGCACTGGGGGCGCGGGTAGCCCCAGCGGCTCTGGGTGAGGGTCGGGAGCCAGCGGGGTGACTTCATCTCCCTCCTCCCGGCCCTGGCTGGGCTCCTTCCTCCTTCCCGCAGATCCCCACCCCTCTGTCCCCACCCCGCCGGGCAGGGCTTCTTTGTCCCTCCGACACTCCTGATAACTCCCACACTGTCGCGTGTGGGGCGGGGACTGGCGAGGGGCCTCAGGGAGGGGGGAGGAGGAAGAGGCCGGGCAGAGGGGAGACCAGAGGAGGGACTCTGCAACTTGACAATACCTGTTTTCATTCCCACTTGTGGATTTGGGGAGAGAATGCTAGCAGAAGTAGTTAGGGGCTTCAGCAGGTGGCTTGGTTGAGGGGCCAAGTTATAGGAGGAGTGTGGGGATTGAGGAAATATTCTGCCCCAGGACCTTTCCCTTGAACCCCATAGCAGAGGGCAAGAGGTGGTTCTACAGCCTTTTCTGACTTGGAGGCAGCGCAGGGGTCAGCAGCCCAGCACCTACTTAGCTCCCAAGTGAGGCGACAGGCAGACCCAGGGACTACACTCCCAGGGACAGCCTCCACGTTGGCCACCTCTACCTGCCCCCCCACCTCTGGACCTCCAGCCCCACCCCACCAGCACAGCCTCCTGAGTAGGGGGTAGGATTGCCAGCCAGGCACACAGGCCCTTTGGCCTAGCTGAGTGCAAGAATCCAGGAGGAGGAGGAGAAAGGAAGGGTAGGGGTGGGTACTCAGGATACAAGGGAGATCTTCCTAGTTACTCCTTCCCCCTGGTCACCTTCCTCTCACCCCTAGGCCCAAGCAAGTGGGAAGGCTGGACAAGGAGGGGGAGGGAAGAAAGTGGCCACCAAAAATGAGGGAATAATAAAATGGGAATCAAGGTGGGTTCCCCAGAATCCAGTTTGAGGGGGCATGGGAGGCTGGAAAGGGAGGAACCAAGAAAGCCTTTGGCTGGGGAAATAGGAGCTGTGGACAGGGCCGCGCAGAGCCTTGCCTTCCTGGCAGAACCTGGCAGCACCTGGCAGCCTCAGCGCCCCTCTGCCTTCATTTCCAACCTGTCCAAGATGGCAGTGGGCCCCTAGGGAGGCCTAGCTACCCTCGTGGCCCTGTTCAGGGCAGACAAGAGTGCCCTGGGGACTCCCTGGAGTTCCTGCAGCTCATTTGTTTGAAACAGCCACAGTGCTTCCTGTGGGGCATCTGATGTCCTTGTAGGCCTCCATGCAGCCAACCCCTGAGCTAGTCAGCCATGGACACTCTCAAATCCAACCACAGTGACAGAAACCAGGGTAGATGAAGGCCTCCAGGGCAGATCAACAAGCCCTGGTTCAAATTCTGGTGCCTCTTATTAGCTGTGTGTCAGAGTCTGCTCATCTATGAATAAGGGCTGTGAACAGCGCCTGGCCAATGAGTATCAGAGGAGATACCCATATGAGTCTCAGCAGGCACTGGGAACAGAGGAACCACTGACCCATCCAACAGCCCCATGTTCTTGGTCTGCCCTGCACTGCACACCATCTGCAGGACTAGTGGGGCCTCAGCATCCTCTACACCTACAGCCTTTTGGGCAAAGCTGCAGTGAACATTTTGATTCTTATGTTCAAGTACAGCTAGCTCCACCTTTCATAAAGGCTGGCTGTATGCAGGCTACAGCAGGGCCCAGGTGTCAGGGCCAACATACCTTCCCTGGGTAGTTTTTTCCTTCTTATTAAGAAAATTTTATGTGACTACATAAAACAGCTGAAAGATTTATATTATTCATTTCATGCATCCACCACCTAGATTGTATAGTGGTTAATACTTTGCTATATCTGCTTTATCACCTATCTCCAACCCATTTTTATGTTTTGATGCAAACTAAATTGCAAACCTCAGTACATTTCAACTGTAAACACTTCAGCATGCATATCATTAACAGATCAAGATTTGTTTTTTGTTTTTCAGATAAAATTTATATTCAGCAAAAAGCCCATATCATGGGGGTTGGATGTTACTTTTTTGAAACTGGTTGCTATTTAGTTTTGGTTTGCCCCTGCTAGGCACCATTTGCATTGGGTGGATTCTGTCAGAGAGCCAGTAAGGGGAAGGGTGAGCAGCCCCAGGAAGTGGCCTCCTGGGGGGCTGGATGCACATGGGAGGTGGGGCTTCAAGATTGGGTGCTGGCAAAGGCCAAGGCTCAGCATCATGCCCAGAAGGACTGAGGCTGCCTGGGTGTGAGCCTGGGCTTCATGAGGGCTTTCATCCTAGCTCTGCCATTTCCAGCTATAGGACTGAGATATTCTGGACTGCAGGGCCTGGACCAGGCAAGAAGAGGCTCTGACTGTGCCCTACTTCCCTACAGGGTCTTTCCTTTATCACCTTCATCTGCTATGTGGTATCCTCAGCGTCTGCCTTCCTCACAGTGCCTCTGCTGGAGTTTCTGCTGGCCCTCTACTTCCTCTTTGCTGATGCCATGCAGCTGAACGATAAGTGGCAGGGCTTGTGCTGGCCCATGATGGTGAGGACCAGGGGAATCAAAAAGGAGGGGTGGACTCTGATGGTATTCATCACAGAGCATCCATATGAGGAATCCAGAGTCCTGCATTTCAACCATGCCCGGTCTTCAGAGAACTGGTGGGACAGTTTGCAGCTGGTAATCTTCAGATAATCCAGGCCCCACCATCCAGCAGCTGGACCTAAAGCAGGTTGTGGCATCTGCAAGGCAGATCTGTGAAGCAGGGAACCTGGCTGGAGGCCTCTCTGACCACCAGGTGGCGCTGTTGCTCCCAGTGGGGTCTTGGAACCCAGGTCAGCCACAGGAATTCAAGTCATTTTCAGAGGCAGGGCAGGTTAGCTTACTTGCAGAGCTTACCCAGACTTAAACATATGGCATCCTAGCATTGTTTGATCACCTGGGAGCCTCAGACCCCTGCCAGTGGCCTCTGCTAAATGAATATGCTGTAGAAAAAAGACAGCAAAGGCTGGGCTCCAACCCTGGTCTCTTGACTTTACCTCCAGCATCCATCCTTTCACCCTCTGGGGAGGGCTGCTCCTCCATCCATAAGCAGAAACCAGGATCCATAAAGGGATTGGCCACAGTGTGTGGCAAAGCGAGGCCAAGGGCCAGGTCTCCCTATTGGAGAATCTGAAAGGAGCAGGTTGACCACATTTCCAGCTTTCACCACCACCAAAGGGCCAAGCCATAGAGCAAGCAGGGTCAGGGTCAGGGCAGTGTCAGCCCTGACAGGAGGCATGGCAGGAGGGATGACAAGGTTCAGGACAGGGCAGGACTCCACAGTTGCTGGACCTGGGTATGCCAGGACCTGGCTGCCAGGCCCCCTCCACTCTGTGCCCCACTCCAGAGAGCTCAGGATGGTGTGGCCATGCCCCTCTCTCCCCAGGACTTCCTGCGCTGTGTCACCGCTGCCCTGATCTACTTCGTCATTTCCATCACAGCCGTCGCCAAATACTCAGATGGGGCTTACAAAGCAGCTGGGGTGAGCAGCAGCTCTGCCTCTGAGAAGAGGGTGCCAAGCAGTGTCCCCCTCTGAAGCTCTGATTCTTCTCTGGATACTCAATGGGGTGGGACCTGGGAACATCCTTTTCCTGCTTGGACCTCTTGGGATCCCTATAGATCTCAACTATTCCAGAGTCCTCTTATTAGAGATTTATTCTGCCCTGAGTTTTGAAACGCTGATTGTCAAACCAGGCTCACAGCTTATTTCCCCTTATTTGGAGGGTCTGAGCCTATCTGGCTGGGCAGCTTCTTAGTGCCACCCCCCACCATGCCCAGCTTCTTGGACCAGGGACTCCATGCTTCTAGTGATGTATTCCATCTACCCTGAGCAATGTCTCCTGCCACATTCCCTGTGTCTGTCCCACAGGTTTTTGGCTTCTTCGCCACCATCGTGTTTGCGATTGACTTCTACCTGATCTTTAACAACGTGGCCAAATTCCTCAAACAAGGAGACACCACAGAGGAGAACACAGCCCAAAGGGCAGAAGGTCAGTGATTGCCCTGAGGTTTCTGCCAGGGAACCCGGCTGAACACCTCTAGGATCACTACTGGGGCCTTGTCCTCCCTTGGGGACACTTTGCTAATCTGAACCTGACATAGGGCCAGGAAGTGTTTTTATAGCCTCATTGTCATATCCCCTCATGCAGTCACAAAACCTGTCCTACCTAGGGCCTCGGGCTTTCAAGGAGGGGCAAGCTGAACACATGCCCAGACCTTTGGCCCTACAAGGCTCCCATCATAGATGAATCCTCAGGGTAGCCAGTCATTCTCAGGACAGTTCTCCACCTGGGATCCAGAGTAACCACCTCCCTGGATCCTGCTTCCTCTGTAGTCTAGCCTGCCTCGGCCTGGGGACCAGGGACCCAATCTCTCATCCTTTTCTGCAGCTCCCAGACAAACCAAGGAGTGTTTGGGTTTTATTCCCATGAAAAGTACAGTAAACATTCTGGCCTATCAAGCCATCCTTGTCCAACTCAGAAAGGCCAGCATGTATATTACCTGATCTCTTAAAAAAAAAAGAAAAAAAAATGTGGAAAGTTGGAAGGTTCATTGATCTGTCTGTAACAACACAGCCATACTGTTTTGCCTTTAGGTGCTTACGCTCTGCACAAGGCCTGAGTCAGGGGCTCTGCACAGGTTTATCAGGAGGTGCCACAGCTAGTTTGGAACTGCAGCCTCTCCAGGGCCTGCCTCAGTCACAGTCCAGAGAGGCAGGAGGGATGGCATGGATATAAGTGCTGACACGGAATGGAGTCCTCCTCAAGGGCTCCAAGGCCTGTTGCCCATTTCTCTGCCCTGCCCCCAGGTAGACTTGAAAAAGAGGTGTTTGGCTCAGCACCAACCTCACACCATTCTGGTGTCCTCTGTGCTTGCCCTGGCCTTTGTGTCACCCCTTCTTTGACCATCATGTGCTGGCACTAGGTATGCACAGATGGACATGAAAACTCAGTCCCAACAGGAGTTGAACCCCAAAGCAGAGCTACACCGGACATAGCAGGGCATGTGTTATACTAGGGGTGCAAGAGGAGGTATCAGGGAAGATCTCCAAATGGGGTGCCAATTACAATAAAATGGAAGCTAACAGGTAAGAATAAAGCAACTGAGGGTGGTCCACTGTGTGCCAGCCTTATGGAGGTAACCAGAGACTTATGGAGGAACCCTGGAAACCCTAGAGCTGGGTCTTGATGGATGTATAGTAGTGTGCAGGAAGAAGAAATGGGGCTGGTGGGAGGAGAGGAAAGCAGAGGATAGGGTGCTTGGTCTAGGTGAGACAATTCTCTGGAGCCATCAGTGCTCATAGCTGGGCAGATAAGACAAGGGAGCTCTCAAGGCCTATAGGCCCCACCTTGGAGTTGAGACCTTCCCACTGAGTGCCTGTTGTCCCAGGTGGGACCCATGCTTATTAGGAACCACCAGGTTCCCAACAGCTGGGCTCTAGGGCCATGGAGATCTGTGCAGCAAAGATGAGGTTGAAGATTCTAAGAGTGCTGGGCTGGCCACAGAGGAGACAAACATCTAAAAACAGCAACTGGCACTGGGGTTGGGGCAGGGGTGGGGTGTTCTCCTTTCCTGGGCTGGGGAGTTCCAGAGGGCTCTGATCTTCAGTAATGGGATTTCAGGAACCCTGAGTCATGCCTCACTGACAGGCCCTTAACATTATAAAACTGTGATCACAATATCAAACAAGGAAGGAGGAAGAAATTTGAAACTATGAAACAGCTAAAAATGGACTGCTGACTTTTCGGTATATTTTAATTTGGGGAATAAGAAAGTAGTTATTTTTGCCTTCTCCTGCTAAATAAATTGGGGACATCCTCTGGAGTCTTGTGAGGGTATAGAGAAGGGGCAACCAGACTTCAGTCTGGAGTGGAAGTGTCCCCATCCCCCCACCCCATCCCCTACTCAGAGACTGCCTGGGGCTCCTGCCAGCGACCTAGCTGTGCCTCTCCAGGGACTACTCCCAGGCACTACTGCCCTAGAGACTCCTCTGCTTTCCTTTCAGAGGAGAATTCAGACTCTGACTCCGACTGAAGGCCTGCCCATGCCAGCAACCTGAACCACACAGGACCTTCAGGCCAGCACCTGCCTGACATGCTGAGGAGCATGTCCAGGGGAAGCTATGTGTCAGGAGGAAGACTGCCCAATGGCCCTCCCCACTGCCTCAAGTTTACATTCCTGAGCCCAGCACATGAGACTGCACTCCTTAGCTTAGTGCTGTTGAACCACTCCGCAAGTGAGGGCATCTTGAATATTCCACCTCTTCCCATTCCTGTCTGCATACCTTAAGCCCTTCAACCTCAATACCAAAGACAAGCACAAAGAGATGCAGCAGACAGAGCTGTGTTACTGCCTGCCACAGCAGTCAGCTCCGGCTGCAGGGCTGAGTCAGGGCGGGAGGGGGATGGCCTGTTTCAACTAACAGGCGTGAACAGAGACAGAACCACCGCAGGCCAGCCCACCAGGGCCCCGTGCTTTGCATGGAGTGCCCCTGCTCATGCAGCACTTTGGTAAGGAATCTTTTGTTCAAGGAGCACAAGTTCCTTCCTCATTGTGAAACAGGAAGGAAACTGACCTTGGCCTTACTGTCCAGGAGTGGATGACACCCACCCAGCACTTCACACTTGGAAACATCTTCAGGTGAGATAACTGTACCAAGTCTAACCCTGTTTCAGACAGGAGCTCACAGATGCACAGGTCAGGGCAACACAAAGGAAACCCATTGATCCATGGCAGTGACCATGTCATGGGCAGCTGGGCAGGCCCAGCCAAACCTTTCTGGTGACAAATGTTCTCATCATCCTTCCTTCTGGATACTGGGGCAGGTCTATTGACCACCTCATGAGAGATGAGCCCTCTGTGTTTGCCTAAGGATTTTTTAGTGTTATATATCTTTGATGGCATTTTGTACCTTTTTATAATTTTTTATACAAAAGCAGCTTTAACAAATGGCATTTTCTGTGAGGCAAGAGGCCTCATGAATGAGCCAAAGTTCTGACCCATGTCTTGGGCACTTATAACCTTATTCTTCTCATGCATGTGAATCTCGTAACCTGAAAAAAAGCGTTTAATGGATTAAACCAGACTGACTACCTGCTTTTGGTGTGATTGAAAAACTCTTCCACCACCCAGAGCAACACTGTGCAATATCCTAGCATGCTTCAGCACAAACTGGTAACACACGAGTGAACCCTGACAGCTATAAGTCTTAGCAACAAGGCATGCATATTCACTCGTATGCCAGGCCTAGCATAAGAATCTGGCCAGCATTTGATCCTCTTATTTCATCTCATAGTCAAGGAAATGGAGAGAAAGGGTAGGACTCTGGCCCAGGGCCCTATCACACATCAGGATAACCTCCCACAGCAGCCAGACCCTAGGCCTTTTGAACAATGTACCTGAGTTGCAGCCTGGAGGACCCTGGTGAGTATCTGGCCCAGGCTGATGGGAAGAGGCAACTGTCACACACAATGTGTCCTGAAAATGTGATAAAAGTAGAATGGGAAGAAGCCGACAGAGTTGCATGGTGGAGTTTCTGCTTCACCTTGCCAGTCCAGCAGAGCTGGTATCACAGAGGCCATTGCATCCTGTGGACTGGGGCTCTGTTCCACCTCCACTGAGCAAGACCATTTCAGAAGCTGGGTCCACAGCCTTTTGGGGGGCAGGGGCAGCAAGGCAGAGAGAAGAGACAATAGCATTTTTATATGTTCATTTATTAAACAAGAACTCCTTCATGACAATTTAATACAATATTTATTAGCGATTAGTGTTGAGAAAATTATTTCCCTCTACATACAAAAATACAGATTTGAACAATGAAAACAATCAAGACAAGTACCATGAAAAATTGGTCCTTCAAAAGAAATAAAGGGGGAAGATCTAGGGTAATGTTAGGCTTTGTATACCGTCAGGGACAAATCAACAGGAGCAAATGCTTTGGGGCCCACAAACCACATCAAATGTGTAGGAACAAACCCAAGAGCCAGTCAGAGCCACAGGAGGCTCACCCCACAGCACCCATGTCTACTTGAGAGGCCAGGATAGAACTCTGTCCCAAACAGCACAAACCAACATTTGTCCAGTGGCCATCACCTCAGAACGCCCCACAGCTGTGTCCATAAACTGCCAAAAATACTTTCCACAAGCAAAGTGGGACAATTAACATTGCCCCCCAAAAGTGCCACTAGCTGAAGTACCGATGAATGATCTGTTATTATTTAGCTTTTGACTGGACTTCCGTCATTATAGAATTACATGTTTTGAATCTTCAGAAGGACAAAAAAAAAAAATAAAGCTACAATTTCATGTTTCAGTAAATATGTACCTTCATTCTGCAATGGCTCAACTGGTTTACTCAAGATTATCCTTGACCAGACATCCTCAGTCCTACAAGGGTGGGAAAGCAGAAGGAGCCACTATAGAGTCTGCCTGTGCCCTGGTTTCACCCGTTCCTCGCAGCAAAGCAACTACTGCATCCAGGCCTGAAACCCCAAGAGGGCCATGAGACACCCAGGTCATCCATGAACCTACATAAAGTCTGAGAGGAAGTGACGTCTAAAGAAGGCTACTGTGTTTCTGGGAACCAAGTGACACCCAGACTACCCTGGAAGACTCCAGGCCTTAGAATACCTTCAGGTTCCCAGGGGAACGGGACAGGGAGCCAAACACGCACTTTCCACCATTTCAGACTCAATGAATGGGAAGTCAGGGCATGGGTGACCTTTTCTTTTGGAAACATTTTCCTCTTACTGTTCGAGGTGAGTGACACTTAGTCTCTTCTAACTGAGCAAAGGATTAAATAATGCCAAATGCAATTATACTGACTCATAATTGTTTCACAGAAATATACTATTACTCTCAGACTATTTAAATAAGCAGAAACAAGATGTGGGGGACATTCAGCAGAGAAGAGACAGGAGTAGCAGGGAAATTTTTTTTGTTGTTGTTTTGTTTTTGTTTTTTAAAATACATATTAGGTTTAAAGGAAAAGTGGCCCAAACCTCAAGACCAGCATTGTTGAAAGGAAAACAATATTAAAAGGACACAGTCTAAAATCATACTACAAAAATAGTGTTATCTGTTTTAACTAAATGTACATCCTTTTTTCCAATTCCATGATTGACAAGAGTGCTTATGTGACACATGGAAGGCACCAAAGGTGAAGTGATTATTTATCTTAAAATATACAAAGACAGAATTAACTGCTTTGAAAAAAAATACAGTCATACCTGTAATAAATAGTTTAGTGTTTTGCCTAAAATTTCAACATATACAAATAGTTTTAATCCCTAGCATTCTCTTAGAGGGAACCATGTCAAACTAAGTCAAGTTCCAAAAGCACTGATTTTATGCAAATAGATCAACTTCGTTGTGATTTGAAAACTCATTTTTAAGTGGTCGAGAAGAGAAAGCTGGAAGCAGGCGGCCCCAGCTGGGCCTGGGTCAGTATGGGGTTGGGGGAAATCCTAGGCATCCTGTCCTTGCCCATGTCCTCCCCAGCCCAGGGACCAGGCAGTTTTCCCTTCAAGGCCTGAAGATTTGCATTCCACACTTCCACAGAGAGGAGAAGGAAAGATTGACACTTGTAATATCAATTTGGGAAAAATCGGAAAGGCAAAACAAGAGTCTGGAGAGGGAAGCAGTCATCAGTTAGGCCTGGCCTGGCCTTGGGTGGGCACCAGATCTCCCTTCACTGTCCTTAGTTCCTGGTCACTCCTCGGGTGCCTTGCCTTATAAATAGGGGATACTTTCAATGGGGTGTCAGCAGCAGCATCCAAGACAACTCACACTAGATGGTTCAGATTGTTACTGAACCCCACAAATCATCAGAACCTTCTTTCACACCATTTCTCTTTTCAGGCATAATTATGAAAAGAAACTCTAGACCTTGCCCTAAATCGCATCAACAAAGATGATTAAGATAGTGCCAGACACATTCTTACCATAAAATTAGAACCTTAAAAGTTCCAACAGCCCACCAGAGTCCAAGCAGTATTAACCCTTCACCAAAGGCTCACCTGAGTTCAAGTCTCAGCACAGTGTGTGAACAACTAGCTCAATGAAACAAATCTGCTAAACTTCATTCTGGGCAAGCTGCCTGTTGATTCAAGCTCACTGGGCTTGTGGGTCATTCTTTTCTTTACTGTTACATTTATGGAATAAGAAAAACTAGAAAGGAAAAGAATTCCAAAGGTTGAGAAATTGTATTCAAATGGAAAAAGAATATACTCCAGACAAAAGAAGGGAAAACATAAGACTGCTGCCTCTGTTTCAAGCCAAGGTGTGTGCGAATGTTTACGGTCATGAAGAAAATTCGGTTTCAGAAAAAAAATTCTTCTAGATCTAACATACTGAAGGTAACTTTTAGAGACAGTTTATAAATAAAGGAAACATAAAAGGTCAAATATTTCAAATTACTTTCTCAACCAGACAGATCTTCTGATTTTTAAGGTATCTGCTGAGAAGAAAGATTTTAGAGTCAGGAAAGTTTAAAAAGCAAAAGGGTGGCCCTCTTAGATCTGTGTCCTTCCTGGGGTGCACCTGAGCCAGCTCAAACCCAGAGTAGATGCCAGGAGGCAAGAGCATGGAGGAATACCAGTCCCCAATGGTCAGCTCTCGTCTTCAGGCTGATTCTGAAACCCAAGATCTCACCCTTCTAAACATAAGAGCATAGGAAGGTGGTGAGCCAAAAACACATTCCTTAAGTAGCCTGAGGTATAAACACACCTGGTGCCAACAAAAGCCCCCTTTCCCTTCCTCCTCACTTCTCACCCACCCCTGTGTTGACCTCATCTGCCCACCAAGTCCCTTGCCTAGTTGGTCCTAGGAGTGGGTACTGATCAAAATCAGACAGACCAAGGAAACAGAAGACTTGGATCCTGCAACTTCTCAAGAAACTTAAAAGGCACCTGGAGACCTCCCAGGTAACAGCAGTCCCTAGAGCCAGAAACAACTTTTCTTCTGCTCATGAAAATTGCCCAGCAGCTCTCAGTCTAGAAAGTGTATTACCAGTTCTGCTACTGCTCCACAGACAAGGTCTAGAGAAAATGACAATCAGGTAGTGGCACAATGATTTCATGATTGCTTTGTTTTGGACACAGATGGCACAGCAGTAACCACTTAATACTAACTTGGCCACAAGTCTTCATGCTCTTTTTTTTTTTCTTTCTTTTTTGGTTAGGACAGGTCCCAAGACCTACCCACAAGAAATCTGGCACAGACAGACATGAGACCTCTGAAAGCACATTGATAGGTAAGGGGTTTCTTCCAAATAGTGCATGCAAAACTAGGAGTAGAGGTGAGCTTGGGCCACACACAAGGGTTATCTGAGGCTCATTCACAGCAAGCAAGAATTCACATACATGTGCAGATAAGAGTTAGGGCTTCCTCTCCTCAGAGAATGCCTGTGGCTTAACCCACGTCTGAGTCACTAGGAAAGCTTTACAGAAGGTGGATAAAACTGCAAACTTGAAGAGAGTAGGAATGTTTTCACAAGGCTCTTACCAGAATCATCTAACCCAGGGTGGAGGCCAGATACCCTTGGCCTGTTGCAGGAGATGGTAAAGTGGACCCAGGGCCAAGCACTCAGAGTCTGGCATCCTTGCCGATTTCCCTGTAGCTGTGCAGCCAACTGGAGCACTTCAGTGACCATTGCTAAGAAAGATGTAGGCTGGAAGTAGGGTCATTATTACATTTTTTTTTTTGTAGATAAAAAACAATCTCCCTCGGATGTCTCTTTGTTTTAAATCAAATTCCACTGAGAATATTTTAATCTGTTTGCCCTTACCATAGGCCAACAAGCATTTTTAGGTTTTCATGGCAACAGTCTCTCTGTATGAAAGGAAAAAGGGGTTGCCTTCCATGTCTTCAGCAGCACAAAAAGGGGTAAAGGAATCAGAAAAGAAAAGCACCCAGCTAACAAAATCAGTGTCAAAATAAACTTCCTCTGAAGATGTCAGTGTTTGCATCCATCAAAACCGCCATAGGTTCTACCAAGTGCTGCGGGTTGCCACATCTCCAGGAACACATCTCCCTTCCAGTTGTACTCCAACAATGAAAGCCAATTCATCCCACCAGAAAACAGAAATCTAAGGTTGCCTTAGCCTTAAAATACCTCAAACCTAAGTGACACTGGTCTAAACTGGAACTACTAGTTGCAAAATTGCTTCTTCAATTTTCTAAGAGATCAATTTAAGACCTCCAAATCTAGATTGTCTTTTGTTTGTACACAGAAGCAACATAAGAAAAATGCAGGTTTCTTTACATTCTCAGTAGACAGCCGTATTCCCTTCATAACTTTCCCTCCCTACATTATGGGTATATGAGGAGACAGGGCTATGCACTACACCAACTAGAAAGTGTACAGGCCACTTCATGGAGAAGCCTCATGACAAATGATATTAAGTAGTTACAGGGACATAAACAGTCCAAAGATTCTGTCACTAAGATGCAAATTAACTCCAAAGTCTCTCTGGGTACAGGCATCATCACTTTTTATCATGCCTCAGCATTTCTGGTCTTGATTGGCCTCAGAACTTTTTTCAGCTGACAGTACATATTAGGAGGCAAGTCAACAGTCTCCTTTCATCAGATGATAAACTGGTTTTACTGAAGTGACTTGGAAAACTTGAGCAATGATCTTGCCTGAATGGTTTTCTCTTTCAGTCTCACTTCAAAAGTAGCCTTAATAAAAGGCCAAGTAACTTGACTCCCAGCAGATATCTGATAAAGTTCAGGGTGGTCCTTCCAAGTAGGCCCAATCCAATGCAAGCCTCAGTCTTTATGATCCTATTTTAAGTGGAATTCTCTTTTTTAATTGGAAGATAACCTCAGTTTTGATTATGTAGACTCACTCATCAATGCAGAACAAATATGTAAAATGAACAGATAAAATTCAGATGTCATCAGCTTCCCACACATCATTACATATCACAGGTTCAAAGTTTGTGAAGCATGCTACGTACTGACTCACAACAGGCAAGGAAAGAGGGCTCCATCAGCTACACGGCACACTATACCCAGCTGTAACCAGGCCAGGCTGACCTCTGTGGCAGAAGAGGGGAGTAACCACAAGACTAGCTGGGTCATCCCCTGATGCAGACTTGTGCTTCATGTGATCTGGGCCACTGTCTGGACAGGAAGTGCACCAGAACTGATCTATACTGGATGTTGGGTTAGGGAGCTAACCTTTAACCTGACCACAAGGCACAGCATGGCACCACTTCCTGTAGAGTCCTAGTCTAGCAGACACCCATCCTCACTGTTGAACAGGATGCTGCTCTTTTCTGAAGAACACAATGCCACACGTGCATTAGAGGGGGCTTCCTACAAATATTCCTCTCCTTACCCCAAACATATACCACCCCTCTTCTCTCTTCCGGGTTGTCTACCTCACAAGACATTGCTAAAGCTATAAACAGTCCTCAGTACAAGATCCTGGGGTTTCTCCAGACTACTACAAAATCCTTCCACCAGTGGTACCTTTTCCTTGGTGAGGGCTAAACACAAAATATGAGAGCTACAGTGATGTCTGTAAACATTAAACAGTTTAAAGAGTGAAAACCTGACAAACTAAAACAAATTTTTCATTAAAAGATATTAGTTTTTAACAACAACAAAACTATAACATTATAGGGTCTTATTTTAACCCTCTCATTCACCACACACACACAAATCTTCACTTTTATCAAGAATCAATCAAAAACCTTAAGTAACTAGGACTTCCCCCAACAACTCCCAAGAGCTGCTGTTGATAGTGATGGCGCTCAGGCCCCCAGGGCAACAATCAGTGCCTACTGAAATGTCAGTGGGAGGACGTGTCCTGGTGCAAATTCAAGTATTTTCAAATCCTGGACAAATCTACTCAGAATCACTTTAGAACTCACTTAGAAAATGAACACACACCCCTAAAACACAGGGAAGTGTTTGTGTGTGCTGATTTGTAACACAAATGTGGTCCATGAAGGCAGCAAACAGGCAAGTGCTTTGGCTGCTAAAATGTATTGTTTCTTTTGCGGCTTTTACCTGAGTCGGTAAAATTACAGACACCCCACAATTCATTCTCAAAGTATTTAGGGTAGACAGGAATCTGGAAAACAAGGTGGTCTCCATATTCCTGGAAAAAAAATCTGGGACTCAGGAAGATGATTCATTTGAGGAAGAATCAAGTGATTTCTCAGCAGAGTAGGAAAGAAAAAGTGACTCTCCCGTGAATCAGGCAGTCCTGGGAGCTGTCCCCCCACAGGACACCAGCTTTTCCTGTCCCTGTTATGACCAGGCAGAAGATCTACCAGCACATCCATCACCAAAACCCTCAGAGTACCCTGTGGCCTTCAGGATGTGCTAGCTACCTGGACACCAGGTGCAGGGAAGATGAGGAGAGTGGATCCTGGTAGCCAGACTCAATACCTGCCCAGAGCACTGGTGACTGTTTTAACCCTAACCTTCATTCCTTGACATGTATTTCCCCTCTTTAGCAGCCCCATTTAACCCAAAGTCTTGACTCATCACAAATACATGACAGGATGGCTCAGAGTCAGATGGGAGCCTGCACTCTGGGACACTTAAGCCCTAGAGTAGACACAGGAGGTCAGTGTGGCCAGAGGCTCCCACAGCCACCCAACACTCGAGGACATGGGTCTTTTCAGGCCACCACACACCTGTCCACTGGGCCACTATGGATGCCCTTTCCCAAAGTGAACTTAAGAAGACAAAATTCAACTAAATCACATGAAAGTTTGACGTGCCGAGGGAAAGAAAACTTGATTGGAAAGATGGGCATGAGGATGAGAGGAAGGAGGACTCCAGAAATCCTCACGTGTCCAGGCACTGGATCTCGGGGCGACTGTCCACGTCTCTGGACTCAGTGCGGGCTCGAATGTAGTCATTGGCGCTCTGCTGGTGGATACTGACTCTCCATTTCTGCACAGCCAGGAACGTGCTCACCGCATAGGCTGCTGTGGCCAAGGAGCCAAATATCTAAAACACAAAGACACAATTCACCTCAGGCATGCAATCCAAGTGGCTTCATGGGGACCCCAGGTAGATGCAGCTCCTTCTAGCTGCACCCCATCTACAGCCTTGTGGAATGTATGGCTGTCACACCTGGTGGAGGTGCTCCTTGTGTGATCCACAAAAAATCCTGCCTCAATCAAAGCCAGCCTCAGCAATTTAGCAAGGCCCTGTCTCAAAATGAAAAAATAAAAAGGGCTGGAGACATAGCTCAGTGGTAAAGCATCCCTGGGTAAAGCACCCTCAGCCCTCTAGTGTCATCTTTTGTTGTTGTTGTTGTTTACTGGGTTAAACTGCGGTACCCTCCAAATACATTTTGGACCTTTTTTAAAAATCACATACGTATCTCTTTTACTGTTTGTATCTTCATGCCCTTTAGTCTCAAATGTGAGAATGTAATACAGACAAAATGAGATGAAGAGAGAATAATAAGAGTTTCAAATCAAGCCACAGGGCTGAATTCCAAATCCCACCCCCATCTGCTGCCACTTACCCCGGCAGCTCCAGATGAGACACGTGGGGTTTTAATTACTTGGTAAGGCTTGGAGAATCTACTGTGAGGCACTGGGAGAGAAGTTTTTTAACTCTCCCCAACTACAAAAATGAAACTTGTTCTTTGTGAATCAACAGCAACACAGAAGCCTGGAGCGTGGGGAGAGAGCAGGTCCCACGCATCTCCCCACCCTCCACGTCAGCCTCCACACTCAAGAAAGAACTCAAGGAGGATGAGTAGTAGGACACATGCCAGAGGACAAAGGACAGAAAGTCACAGGAGGTGTGAAGTCAGCCTGCATTTTACCAACTCAAGTTCTCTTACCATAGCAGCAATTTCTGCTCCGGTTTTGTGGTTTAAAGCAGCCAGTACAATTGAGGCAATAAAGAAAAAGAAAGTGCTGAGTCCAGTGTTGACCAAATCCTAAACAAAAAAATAAAAATAATTTGAAAAGAACAATTTGAAAATCAACTGAAGAACTTCCAAAATAGGATGCACAACATGCAACCTCCAATGGCCCCGAATCTCAGCCTTGAAGACACAGATACTGGTCACACAAAGGAAGACAAAAATAATAGTTCACGGTTAATGGTTGCTTGGCAAACTTGCACAACAAAATCCACCACATCACCAATTCTTGACTTAAACAACAGCCATTATTTACTGTTTAGCGTCCTGGTATCTTTTTAATTTTTTGCAGTGCTGGGGTTAGAAATCAGAGCCTCACAATTGCTAGACAAGAGCCCCACCACTGAGCTATACCCTCAGCCCTCTAATGTCATCTTTTGTTGTTGTTGTTAATATTTTCTTAGATGGTGCTGGACCTTTATTTTATTCATTTGTTTATATGTGGTGCTGAGAATCGAACCCAGTGCCTCACATATGCTGGGCAAGAACTCTACCACTGAGCCACAACCCCAGCCTCTCTAGTGTCATCTTTTTAGAAAGATGCTCACACAATGGTCTTAGTGTGGACAAAGCATCCTAAGGGTCCAAATGTACTGAGACTGATGCAGTCCCCAGCATTCCTTGCCTCCATGTGTAAGGTTTAAAGCACATTATTTTCAGACATTGCGAACACATGTTCTTACCTAGATTTTCAAACCTCTATGTCACCAAAGTCACTGCAGAATTTTCTCCTAAACCTCTTGCAAAGCAAATGAAGTTACTTACCTAGTGTTTCACAGACTTAACTTCTGTCTTATTTATGAAAAGACTACAACACACTGATTAAGAGCCATAGCCAGCAGCCAGGCTCAGTGGTGCATGCCTGTAATCCCAGCAGCTTGGGAGGCTAAGGCAGGAGGATGGTGAGTTCAAAGGCAGCTTTAGCAAAAAGCGAGGTGCTAAGCAACTCAGAGACCCTGTCTCTAAATAAAATACAAAATAGATCTGGGGGTGTGGCTCAGTGGTTGAGTGCCCCTGAGTTCAATCCCTGGTACCAAAAAAAAAAAAAAGAGTCATAGCCAGCCTAGGGTCTAACTAATACTATGACTTCAGATGAACTGCTGTGTTCCTATGTATTTTATGTGGACTAGCAGCCCCTTCTCCCCAGAGCTGTTCTGGAAGACAAGCAGAACTATGTAGGTGACAAGCCAAACACAACACCTGGCCCACAGCTGGATCCTCTACACTGGTACTTCTGTTATTGCTTTGGCACTAGACCCCAATAGCCTGGGTCATACTATATGGCCTCTGTGAACTATAAAAGCGATGAAAATTCAGGAAAAAGACCAAACTGCTTAAGTGCTGGTTGACTATACCATCAACACCTGGTGGTTCATCCGGTCTGGCCTGACTTCAAGATTGACTTGCTCTTTTTAAAGATGCAAAGAGACAAGTTTCAATTTAATAGTACTGAGTCTGGGTAGTAGAAACCACCTGGATTTCCGCCACACTTCTTCATGGGCTAGGGCAAAACTGCAATGTAGGGACTGTGAGGCTGTCTTCAAAAACACCTGCCAGCAGGACAGGGTTCAGATGTGATCTGTGAAGCCAGGGAAATTTCTCACAAATTCAAGCCAGAAAGTATCTAGATATACTTGGCTCTGGGATAAGATATTGTTGGGGTGAAAAATATAAAACACATTTCCCAAAGCAAAGATTATTCAGAAGGAAACATATTTTATGATATAATGTTGGAAGTCAAGCATCAAGCAAAATTGTGACTATGTAAAAATACAGATGTGATAAAAAGGGCTAGGAAATTAAAAAAAATTTTTTAGTTGTGATGAACACAATACCTTTATTTAATTTATTTATTTTGATGTGATGCTGAGGATCGAACCTAGGCCTCATACTTACAAGGCAAGGGTTCTGCCACTGAGCCACAATCCCAGCCCAGGCTTAGAAAATTTAAGGGGAAAAATTTAAAAATTGTAGGAGTACCAGTGATTTTAAACTTGTTTTAGCAATGACAATCAACATTAAATAAAGACTGAAAAGATAAATATGGTCAGAGAATATAGTGAAAAAATTTAAAAAGATGTTTTCAAAGACAAGATAATATCCTACTATGATCCCCCACCAGGTTATTCAGCCAATAAGATGAAACAAGGGGGAAAACACAAGCAACTGCTAACATGAGCACATCGACCTTCAAATTCCACTGAACTAACCCATTTTTGAGGCTGAAGCCCTCGCCTCAAAAATGAACCTGCATATTACTGTGCTTCTAGAGCTGTGCTGTCTCAAACACATGTGGCTACTGGACATTAAACCCACTGAGCTACATAAAATAAGAAGTTCCATATTTCAATCACATTAGCCCACTGCAAGTACTCAGTAGCCACCTGCAGCTCATGGCTGCACACAGAGCAGTACAGATCAGAAAACATTTCCACTGTTGGAGAAGCTTGTTGGCCAGAGTTGCCCCAGGGCCAATAACCAGGTCACACACAAGACAGGGACAGAGGAACAAGTAAAGCCTCACCACCAGGGCGCTTGCAGCTAACTCCAGAGTGTAAAACGCTTCACAGGATAGACAAATGACCCAGTGTTTCTAACAAATCAATAAAATAAAAGGAATGAATGGAAGGGGGTTATTTGTGTGAACCTCGTGTAGACTGTGACCTGAATAAGACAAATGTAAAAAGATATTTTGAGACCAAGGGGAAATTAGAGTATGAACTGAATATTAAATAATATTAAAGAATTGCTAATTTTATTGATATAACAATCATATAACGCTATCTTTTAAAAAGAAAGATAGTGAAGAAATAAAGGATTTTGCTAACTAATGAAAAAAATCATTTTAAAAGTTTGTATTTCTATTTAACACTATAAACCAAAATAAATCAAAGAAAATAAAAATTATATGAATAAAGCAAAACCACAAAGTCCCATGTGTATGTTTAAAAACCCTTCACAAAAAATACTTTTTAAGCTTTACACCAAATATAAGACATCCAATAAAATCTTGATAAATAGTAAACCTTTTGATATTTGATAAAATGACCAATATTCTTAAGAAAATGTAACAAAATAAGGAAAGGCCATGAATAAGCAAATTTTTTTTTCCTTTGATACTGGGGATTGAACTCAGAGGCACTCAACCACTGAGCCACATCCCATGCCCTATTTTGTATTTTATTTAGAGACAGGGTCTCACTGAGTTGCTTAGAGCCTTACTGTTGCAGAGGCTGTCCTTGAACTTGCGATCCTCCTGCCTCAGCTTCTCGAGCCACTAGGATTACAGGCATGCACCACCATGCCTGGCTATAAATAAGCAATTTTTTAAAAGTATAAATGGGGTTGGGGTTGTAACTCAGTGATAGAGTGCTTGCATTGCACGTGTGAGGCCCTGGGTTTAATCCTCAGCACCATATAAAAATAAATATATTTTAAAAAATACAATGGAACTTTAAAAATGAATAAAATTTTTTAAAGTATAAATGGCCAATAAGGAAGAAAAATGTTCAAATTTATTTGTAAGCAAAGAAGTGAAAATTAACTTGGCAATTGCAAGCTTCTTTTCTGGAAAAGACTACAACTCTGTATATGTATGTATGTATGTATGTGAGAGAGACAGAAAGATAGACACTGACACACAGACCAGCCAGCAGGGCTCACATGACATAACTTTCAGGAAAACTATTTGCTAATAGGCATACAAGATTTTGAACAGGTTCATATTGTCTACATATAAATTCCACACTTGGAAATTCACCTTAAGTACTAATAGAAAGTGCTAATATACCAAAGGTCTAAGTATAAGGAGGTCCTTCATGACATTATTTAAAGAAGTAAAAAACCAAAAGCAGGAGCTGGGGCTGTGTCTCAGCAGAAGCGCACTTGCCCATGTTTGAGACACTGGGTTCGATTCTCAGCACTGCATAAATATAAATAAAGAAAGGTCTATCAACAACTAAAAAACTATTAAAAAAAAACAAAAGCAAACAAAATGCTCAAGAATAGGGCATTTTACTAAATAAAATGGAATTTCCATAATAACACCATGCAGTCATTAAAAATAATGATGTAGCTTGTTATAGTTTGGATACGAGATATCCTCCCAAAGCTCTCTATTTATGAGGAAGTAAAATGATTAGATTAAGAGAGCAGTGACCTCTGATTAGGTCAGTGATTAGAACAGTGATTAATCCAGTGGATTAATCTATTTGATGAATTAATAATTTGAAAGAAGTAACTGGGTGGTAACTATAGGCAGGTGGGACATGGTTTGTGCCCTGTAAGTATTCATCTTCCCTGAAGCCCCTTCTCTCTCTCTCTCTCTCTCTCTCTCTCTCTCTCTCTCTCCTCCCTGACTTTGCCATGAGCTAAGCAGCTTTACTCCACTGAGCCCTTTAGATTAATGGTATCACATACACTGACAAAATGGAATTAGGGGCATAAAGTCTAAAGGAGAATGGCATAGTTCATCAATAACACTTGAGAAAAGATATTCTCATACTGGCAGCAGCCCTACTGGTTTGAGAGCTTACTACATGCCTTTATTCCCATTTTCTTCATTTTATATTTAAAACAATCCTGCAAGGAAAATATTATCTCCATTTAACCAATGGTGAGACTTCACTAATAGAAGGCTCATATGATGTACCCAGGTTCATGCACAGCCCTTAAGAACAACCCTGGACTTGATCTGACCAGGTCTATTGGCTTAAAACCTCTGATCTTAACCTTCCCAGAAGCTACTTCTTTGTCAAACAGGTCTTTCTATAGGGTGTTGTATGCTCTATAGCCCAGCCTGCCCTCAGAAAGCACCTACTGAGAGGACCTTGGAAACAACAGGCAACTGGGATACCAGCAAACAGAATGAACACCTTGACCTTGTCCCCCGAGTATGCATTAGTTGGGAAAGTTTGCAAGGCTCACTTAAGCTATCTGTCTACTACACTATTGGTTGAGGTCACACCTCAAGCATTTTTTAAAAATATTTTTTAGATATTAATGAAACTTTATTTTATTCATTTATTTATATGTGGTGCTGAGTATCAAACCCAGTGCCTCATACATGTTAGGCAAGCGCTCTACCACTGAGTCACAACCCCAGCCCCCTAAGCATTTTCTTACATATAACACAAACTTCATCTAAAAAACAGTTGAAATGTTTAAACTTCTCACAAAAACTTACAAAGTGCTTCCAGTTATCTTTTGGTTTTAGAACAAAGTTAAATTTAAAATACCATCACATTTTCCTTAGCTTTCAGTGTTAAGACAAAACTTGTAGAGTTTTCAACTGACATTAACTTTTCCAAATCAGTAACTCTCCTTTCATTTTACTCCCCAAAACAGTTTGTGGGAGCATTCTGTCAGGAAGATCTTCCTACCTGTACACCCAGGGACACCATGCTAGCAGCCCTGCCAGGCAGAGCGACAGCTCAGGCTTCCTCCCACAGTGTTGCCCCCCACTCTGCATGGAGCACCAGCCAAAGAAAGAAAGAGGTGCTCTGCAGTGCTCTCCTCATACCCCCAGCAGCTGTGAGTCCACAGGCTTCTCTCACAAGCACAGAAGTGTGAGGTGGCTGGTTGTACTTCTGAGTTTCTCCCTCACTGATTCCCCCTGAGCTCTTGCACATGCTTGTTTACAAAGAAATATTAAGAAAACCAAATTATATTAAAATTCCTTCTTGTTCAAGAACAAATAAGGACAACTAACACAGTTTAGAAGAGATAGCCTGGGACTGGCCAGCCCTCAGCTTCCCATGCCATCTGACAGGGCTGTCCAAACAGGGCTGAGAATTCAAAGTATGGAGACGAGTGGACATGTATCCACTCAAGACTTTCTGATCAAATCACCCAAACCTTCAGTCCTCCTAGTTACTTTGAGTTTAATAATATTCCTAGGCTTTACACAATATTGACATTTTCAATTCTTCCAGAATCAATATTTTTATAAATGGCTTTTGTGTGTTGTCTGAAAAATATGCAAATGTATTAATTCCATTTCTTTCCCATATTCTGCAAATACCAGTATAACTAGTCTTCTAAGGTGATCATAAAATAGAAATGACATCTTTAAAAGGTCCAACATAATTTTGTTATGTTTCTACCATTAGTTAAGATTCAATTTATTTATTTTTTCACTCAATGCAGTAAAGAAACATAAAATTTCACAGCTGAGTTATAAAGGAATGTTAAAATATCAAAATAAACTAGAACCAAACATGTCATGGAGAGATTCCAACTTTCCCTTGGAGCCAAGCAGCATTTGATCCTTTCACAGAAAGAATGGTAACTTCTACTCACTGTCAGGTTCCAGTTGATCTGGGGGATCCTCATGTGAAGGTTGAGACTGAACAGAATCAGCAAGACTCCAGTCACCACAAATGCACTACAGCTTACAAACTCAAAAAAGTAGAGGCCTTCACATGGGGAGCACTCCATGATGGTCTCGATACAGATGAATGCAATCAGGGCCAAAATCTAGGAAGAAAATTGGAAACATACATGCATGTATATATTTAGTACACATCTGTGAATATACATGCCCATCATATTTATGTTCAGCTGCAGAGTTTTCCTCTGGGGACAGCAGTTTAACTGTCAGAAATATGAACTACTTCAGTTTCTACTTAGGTAGAAACAGGTAGAGGGGCCTGAATGAAAGGTTGGAATTCCTAATGTAAACAGCGAAGGCTCTACCACTACACCAAAACCAGTTTAGGGAGGAATGGCACCCCTGTGTGAGTCACTGGCCCTGGGGAGGAAGGAGGAAGTAGAAAAGAACACCTCTGTGACGTTTTAGTTCATCCTTTGCCATCATAATTTCAAGTTGCTTGTTTCCAATTTATGGTCTCTACCACAGTTATGCTAGACACTGAGAGGATGGAATCTTGTGCTATCTGCAACTACCTTGGTGATTCATGTTGGGGTCACATAGGCTAACTAATGATTGGTACAATCTCCTCTTTCCTCAATTAGAAGCCCCTGAAAGAAGAGGCCCCTAATTAACCCATATGTTTGTGAAAGTGTTATCACTGGACTATATCACAAGAAGATAGAGTGGCAGCTTATTAAAAATTTAAAAATCTGCCATTAACAGAAATAATTTCTTTCTGAAGAACCAAAGTAACATTATAAGCAGTATGTCTCGCGAATGTAAAAATCATAAAGTCAAACAGATAAAAATGGAAATTACCAAGTGAATTTTTAAAGGTAGAGTTCAGGAGAAGAGGTGGCCCAGGGTTAAGCTGTTGGTCCTAAGATCAAGGGAGGTCAAGTAGTCTTGAGCAATGAACAGCAGTTCAGCCTTGGGCTCCTGGCCTCACCTCTGTTCCCCAGTGTCTCACAGCCCACCCCATGTCAAGCCCACACTACCATGTCCAGGCCAATCCCCACCCTGCAGCTCAAGGCAGAAAAAGCAGGAAGGCAGATGCAGGCAGCCCTGACATCCTCCAGAGACATGTCCTCCAGGGCCAGCCTCCCAGCATCCCAGGAGCCTTGTGAGCAATGGGGAAGCTCTGCCTCCCTTCCTTGTCCTGTGGAGTCAGAATCTGCTTCCTGACAAGATCCCCAGATTAACTGTGAAAAGCAGCCAAGACACAGGCTGTTCTGGGGCTCTTCCCTGCCTACTCAAGTCCTACTCACACATACCAATGCTCCATTCTCAGTGCCACCTCCTCCTCATGCTGTCCCTGAATTTCTCCCTGCCACATGTCATTTTATTCTACCCTGTCCCAAGAAAGCATTTTACTCCTACCCCATGCATCTCTCTGCACCCTGAGTGTTCGGTGTGCAGGCCACCTCTGTCCCTTCCTAAGGCACCAAGCGCAGTAACTTGCAGAGTTGGCAAATGTGGGCACAATGACTTGCAAAGCCCCACACTTTCCTGTCAGGGTCTCTGTGTAAAAGGAAAGCTGTTTCTGCTATTACCATCAGGGACACTTCCATGCTAATCTTATGTGGTCTTCTTACTTTCTAGTCCAAGTTAACATATTAAAGATGCAGATCTTGTTGATCAAAGGATACAAGATTTCAGTTTGCAAGGAATAGTTTAAGAGATCTATTGTGCAATATAAGGGCTACAGTTTTTATACCAATGGATTTATTTTGAAAATTATTGAGAGAGTAGAGCTTAAGTCTCACTGGAAAAAAAAATAAGTGAGGTGATGCTCATGTTCATTAGCTTGGCTGGACCATTCTACAATGTATACGCATTTCACATCATATTGTACACAATTAATATGTACAATGTTTAGTCATCCATTAGAAAATGAAAGACAAGACAGGGATCTCTAAATACACGCTTTGTACTTTTCCTAATGACTCTCTTTATAATTCTCCACAGGACCACAGCCTTTAATTCTCCATCTGAATTACATGCTTAACTTGCAATCAATACACAAAAGAAACAGTTCATATAAGGCAAACTCCTAAACATCCTTTTTTTTTTTCCACCCCTGTAATCGGATCTACTAATCTTGGGCAAGAAATAACACACTGTACTGATGAGTTACAAATGTTTCTGGTATGTTAACTTCAACCATATTTGTGTGGAAAGGTAACACCTAAATTCTTAAATATTAAAAAAAATGGCTTCAAGAAAATGCAAATCCAATAGGCTATTCGTTGTAACAGTGAACATAACAAAATATCTCTGCTCAACAGCTCATAATTTAAATGTTTTAATTAAATAAAAAATAAAGTAAGTTAGACAATGATAAGAACAAAGGAGAAAAAGCAGGGAAGGCAAGTGAAGTGTAACTGGGGCCAGGGTGTGAAAACTGTGGACTGTGGACCCTAGAATGCCCAGCTGAGAAGGGTCTGAGAAAGAACTACAGGAAGGCAGTAAGGTCCTGGCTTGCAGGAGGGAAGATCAGATACATAGAGCCCAGAGACATGCGCAGACCTGGATGTGATAGCCTACTGTGCCTGAGTGTGAGGAAAGAACTAGAGAGAGGCACAACCTGATTTGGATCTTAAAAGGGCCACCAACTCCACAGACCAGAGGCAGGAGGCTAGGGCAGAGGCTAGAGAAGAGCTGGAAGGCCTCTGCAACACCCTGGAGAGAAGATGGTGGCATGGATCAGGGTGGTATCTGAAGGTGATGAGCCCAGATGGTGAGAAGTGTTGAATTCTGGGTGTATGTTGAAGGCAGAGCCACAGGATCTGTGCTGACACACGATGGGATGTGAGAGGAAGAGGAAGGCAAGCACATTTCTAAGGTTCTTACTTGAGCAACTAGAAGAATGGCATTGCTGCACAGGGATAGGGAAGCCTGCAGGGGAGCAGGTTTGGGGAGGAGTTCAGTTTGGGACATGCTAACACTGTAACAGCTATCAGGCTTCAAGTGGAGCTAATTGTTAGATATGTGAACCTTGAGTTCTGGGGAAAGATTGGAATGGAGATGCAATTGGGAATTGGGGGACAGGATGGAACGACCACCCAGAGTGTGAGTACAGACAGAAAAGAGGGCTAAATGCTAAGCAAGTGATACTCCAACATGTTCATGACAGAAATAGCCACACAGCCTAAATTTCAATTTGAGTTTGCCAGCTACCAACTGGGTGTGGCAGCCAGTCCCTCCAAGATGGCCCCAACAAGGAGTCTTCCTAGTAGTCTCATCTCTGTGACACAATGAAGAAGGCTGACCCTCTTGCAGAAAGAACTTCACAGGTTAGGCCAGAAAACTCAAGTGTGATTTCTTCCTTCCTCTCTGTCTCTCTAGGATCACTTATTCTGGGGAAAATGAGCTAATATGGTCATGAAGATACTCAGGTAGCCTTATGGAAAAATCTAAGTGCCAAAGAACCAACAGCCAACAGCTATGTGAATGAGGGGTCTTAGAAGCAGGTCCTCCTGTCCCAAGTGGGCAGGCCTTAGGTGATACCATCCCAGACAATAGCCAGACTGCAATCACATGAGAACCAGAGCAAAGCCACTCTGGGATTCCTGACCCGCCGAAACTGAAGGATAATAAAGTTCTGTGGTTTTAAGCCACTAAGTTTTGAGGTAATTGGTTAACAGTAATAGATAATATATTAGGGAGGGAACCTCAATAATATTGTAATCACTAATATCAATAAAAAGTAACTACCAGTACTGGTTACCTACCATTTCTCACTCTTTACCATTTAGTCCCTGACACAAACCTATGAGGTAACATTAGTCCCATTTTATAGACAAGGAAACAGAGGTCCTATGAGATAGATAGCAAGAAGGAATGCCAGTATTTCACAGCCAAGATTTGATCCTCATCCTCTCTAGTTTTTATTGCCTTACTATGCTATTCTTCTTATCAATTCCTCATCCCCAATAGCTGTCTTCTTTGCATATCTCAAATGGTCATTATGTTCAAAATCAAAATATACAAACGAGAACTCAAACAGTAACATGCTGTATATAAAATAAGGAAATAAATGGTGTATTAAGAATTGTAATGCAAAAATAAATAAATAAATAATTTTTAAAAATAAGGAAATAAAATTATAACCTATACATATAGTTTTTAAATCAAAAAACATGTATTATACATCTTGTTTTCTAGCTTTTTTCTTTTACATAGTATCTGCAGGCATTTCCATATAAAAAGAAACATACATGTTATTTTTTTGACTACATAGGATATATAAATACACAATCTATAATTTCATCAATACTCTGTTGATAGGTGTTTAGGTGTTTTCTAATACTCAGCCATTACCACCAGTACAGTCTTTTTTGGAGGGGAGAAGGTACCAGGGATTGAACTCAGGGGCACTTGACCACTGAGCCACATTCCCAGCCCTATTTTGTATTATTTAGAGACAAGGTCTCACTCAGTTGTTTAGTGCCTCGCTTTTGCTGAGGCTGGCTTTGAATTCATGATCCTCCTGGCTCAGTCTCCTAAGCTGCTGGGATTACAGGTGTGCACAACCACACTAGGCCTAGTATATATATATATATTTTTTTTGCCTGATATTTAGCACAGCAAAATATCAAAACATCTTCCAGCACTGTGAAATCTAATAATCACTGGTGAATTAAGCCCACCTATTGCCTGATAAGGACTCAGACCAAGTCAGATCGGAAGCCAATAACTTGTAGCAACAGAGGAATCAAAAGTAACCTAACTTCTAAAAACTTTGCAGTGGACAAATATCAAGTATAAAAATATGTATAAAGATGTTAATGAGATATAAACATGAGAAAGCTAAGGTATTGCTAATCAGAGAGCCTTTTCTGTGTAGTTCTTACCAGCTGATCTAGAGTATTTTCGTAGCTGATAAGTAAATTGGCATTATAAGATTGTCAAATTTACCTAACTGTGGCTAATTAAGGTTGGCAACATCAAAAAGGAAGATAGGAGGACAAGGGGAGCGCTGTCTTACAACACTTTGTAAATGCTCATAAAGTCCAAAGTTAAACTGCTAAGTCCTTTCTGGAGGCTGTGACGTGAACAGGACTGTTCACCAACACATCGGAGTCTCCTCTACCCAGGCACA